CTCCCTCTTCCCCCCCAACCCATGATGAACAAGGGCCGGAACAGAAACAATGGGGAAAGAGAACAAGAAAATGGCGGTAGGCAGCTCCAGGGAGAGTGCTGGCACTATTCTGGAGTCCTGTAGCTCAGTGATTAGAGCACTCGCCTTGCAAGCGACAGGACCTGGGTTCGATTCCTAGTCAGACGAAACGTTGAGCAAATTTCCTTACTTCACACACCTCTGTACCCAGTAGTAAGTAGGAAGCTGTTGTCAGTCGATCGCTGTATCGCTTTTCTGGGGGTAATAATAAATTTGGTCACTCAATCCAAGACTGTATGTGGGACACTGTTTGCCCAATTGACTGTCGTGTTTCGCCCACAAAATATACAGTCAGTTCACTTCATGAAGCACTTTGAGACATCTCAAAGACATTATAAAGCGCTATATCAAATGCAAGGTTTCTTCTTATTTATTATTATTTTACACTTTGTACAGCAAATGTTTGAGAGGTGGAGAGAGTAGTGGAAAGAAAGGGGTGAAACCTGGGATTCTTACCTTAAACATTAAAGACTAGACTTGAGTGTCCAGAGGAAATGCTGTAGTTGAGTGGAGCTGCTGAATATAGTGCAAGCGCACTTTCAATTTTGCTGCAGAATCGCAGACTAAACCACAGTTACCATCAAGTGGTGCACAGGCATATTGTACTGTGGAATGATTGGTTATCGAGGTAGCACAATCTTGATTGATTTTCTGTATAGCAGAGTGTTCTTGTATGTGCACTGTAGCTTGTCTTTTTTTAAAAAAAACATCCTATTTGTGTTGTGGATCTCTGACTAGGACATGTACAGTACTGTGCAGCCCAAATACCCCAGAGACCAGTGCAGGTGACTTAATGGGGTCTGGTTTGCAAAATTTATCAACTACATTTTTCCATCAGTGTTGATTTCAAGTTTTCAAATATCAGATTTGCAAAGCAGCAAATCACATACTCTGAAATTTAGCAACGACTGAAAATGGACATTAGCAATGACATAACTGTTTTGTGAATGTAACTGTTTTGTGAATCTTGGAAACCAAGATATTCACAATCTTAAGTCGCAGTTAACACAATTTAGTTTCCAAATGTCACAACTTAGCCATAACTCTGTTCTCCAATGGCACCTGTTGGATATGTTGCTGAAGATTAGGAATAGCTTTTTCAGGAGCCTGGTTAGGCCTCACTCTTTCTGGTTGCCCCTCTGTGAGAGGAAAGGATGTAATGCTGACACTTATTTCCGTTAATGTGCTGTAGTTTGAAGATTGATGCACAGAGAGTCAACCACAACATTATGAGGTTCAAGCTTTAGACAGGATCGGGGATGGCTGGGGGAGGGGGGAGAGAGCAGAGAGAATTTAGCGAGAATGACTACAAGGTGCTCTTGTATACTTACTGTGACTGATAGAAAGAAGTTGTATTTTTCAAGCGTTTACGAGGGTTGTCATATAGTGACTGTTTTGTAGGCTAATGTCACTGTCATCTGGTAGGTGGGACCCAGCTTTAACCACACCTGAACAGACAGCCATGGAAATGTCATCACTTCAGTCAGTAACGTGAGATTAGCTGGCAGTTCTGCAGTGTCTTCATTTTCATTTTCAGGAAGAAGTTATTTTGGTCCTAAACTGGGTGGCTCGGTGGGTGGGTCAGTGGGGCTGATGAGTATCAGGATATAATGTCAGTTATCTGCACTGGCATGCACAAACCATTTTGTGCAAGATTGTCATTTTATTTCTGTCCTGTTTCTAAGTGCAGTTAGAGTCTAACTAACCAATGTGGAGGAACATGAAGATTGGAAGATTTATCATCGGTCAGACCTGCTACCTGCATGCAAAGGATATCTATCTGTATTTATGTACCTGTAGGTCGTAATAAGTCAAAGATCTGAAAGTGTCAGTGCAGTGATTGTGCAGTGGTGAGGGAATCTAGCATTGTGGCTGAGGATCTGAGCTGCTGCAACATTCTGTGTGCAATGTGGGGAAGATGCAGAAAGGTGGTCTTGATCTGTCTTGACCAAACGCCAAAGTTTTGCACAGATTCAGTAAGTTGGGAAGAGAGAGAGCCCAGGAAGGTTGAGGAAGTCTGAGCCAGGAGGAGGTGCTGGCAGGAGTGGAGGAAAATGGTCCATGTTTAACTGAAGGAAGTTGAGGCTCATCCAGGAGATAATGTTTTGACAGCCATCTTACATAAACATACATGATTGTTAATAGGATAGAGAAAGTCACAATCCCTTCAGATATGCCAAGGCAACGGCACAAAAGAGCACAAAATATAAATTTGTGAAAGGATTGTTGGTAGGCGATGCTGAGCTGCAGGCTGGGGAGCAGACTGCTGCAGTGTTGCAGGCCTGCACATACACGCCAGAGCTGACGACTCAGAAGGATTTCTGCAGCTCTTCTCTAACTCTGCTGTTCCTTCATCATCCTGGAAATCAGCTGCTTTTTCGTCATTTTCTTGGAGATTAGGAGAGCGGTGCAGAAAATGTCTCTCCATATAGCATGTCTGAACTCTACACTCTTCTAGCTTCATGGAAAAAGGAGTCTGAACACAGCCACAGAGGAGCTGTTGCTGCTTTGGGAGAGACTGCTCTGGGGTCATGTTCACACAAAGCCCCCTTGGAACTCCATCGCACAATCCCTTCACCTCGCTCCTTCCCTTGCCTCCTTCAAAGCCCGTCTCAAAGCCCTCCTCTTCGACTACGCTTTCGGCCACCCTCCCACTCCTACCCTCCACCCCTCCTGATCCTAATCCCCAGCTCAGGTCCAAATCTCTGACCGCCCAGCACCTTGGGATGTCCTCCCGAAGTGAAAGGCGCCGTGCAATTTGTAACTTGTTGCTGTCTGCCCCAAAGTTCTCCCAAATGGCCATAAAATACTAGGCGATTCCCCCCCCCCCCCCCCCCCCCCCCCGCTGCAGCGCAATAATCTGGGTCAGATACTGGCATTAAAATAACTGAAAGTCTGAACACTCATCCTGCTGCACCACTGCTCTTCTCTGACATACAGATTGAATGCTATCTCCTGAGGCCAAGTGACCTTGAGTGCAGATTCTTGCTTTCCATTACGGCACATTTATTGTGTAACACACAAAACACTCAGTTCCCACAAAATGGCTTTACAATGAGGAAGAAGATGTATGATGTGTGTTAGTTGTGTTAAACTTCACTAATACCTGTACATTGTGAGATTACGTTAGGCACCACATCACAGGCCACAGTATCTCAGGCAAACAAATGGTATGGAGGGTGATTTGATTTTTTTTCACTTAAAAGTACCAATTCTGATGCATTTCCTATTTGTAAACAGGATATCTTGCTTCTGCTTTTGGTCGAGCTGGTGCAAGTTTCCAGTGGCTGTGGCGTGACTTGTGACTTCATTTTTTGGGAGGCTGGGTATTTAAAGCTCACAGAAGTCCAGTGGCAGCATTTTATAGTGGCAGTAAAACTCCGATGAAACTTTCTGTTAAATGGAAACACAGCCACCATGTGGCACGTTCTGCTCTTTCAGGCTGGGTGTTGTGCGGAGTCAGGTCCTGCCTGTTTATATGGAGGCTGCACACTGTATGTTGTGTGCTACAGTGTACGTCAGATGAGTTTCCCTGATTCAGATGAAACTATGGTTACACGACACTAAAGTTATTTTTAGGACTTTACCAGAGCTATTAATGGCAGATGCAAGTGCGGAGATTCAGCAGTGGGTGTACTTGGTGAGTGTGTTCCATTTACTGAGGGATTCCTCTGGTTGCCTGTCGGTTCTCCCAGCTAAACTGTTAATTTAATGATGTCTCATCATTGTATTTGATGAGTTAACAGATTAAATCTTTTTGAATAATTTCTCCCTCGTTTTTCACACTCGCCTTTTTCTCCTAATATTGCAGACATACTGGGAATAGCTCTGTGTGTGTGTGTGTGTGTGTGTCTGGGGAGGGGGAGAACTCTGACCCTCGTCTAAGTGCCCATTTAGACTTGAGCTTTAGCCATGTTCAGCTGTGGGTGGCATTGATCCAGTTCTGCCCTTGCCATGTATCCATCCAAGTATGTCAACAGCAGTGATCAGGAGTCCCAGCTCCCCCCACCCGGCCTGACATCAGCAGTTCAAGGTTATAATCTGTGACCCCGGTGTCTGTATGGTTTAGTGGCTACATTTGATTATTGATGATCGTAATGACACAAAGGTCTATTCCTACATCTTGTAATCTCAATCTCACTAATGAAGGTGCTCCAATCACCAGTTACACACAGTGTGGGGGTGGAGAGGAGAAAATGTGAGCTTGTACCGTGGTTGAGAGGAGGATAGACTAATATCTGTAAATAGCTTACAATAACAGACATTCTCTGTGTGAAACCAGGGACATGATTATAACTTTTGGAAATCCTGACAAACTGTAGCACCTTTGCACACTGTGAGACCCCCAACTGACACGGAGGAGGGTGAGCTACTGGACGGCTCCTTGTGTGCACCTTATAATCTTAAGGTGCTGATGGCCTAATGATCAGGGACCCTGTTGCATTTCTGAAGCATTGAGATGTTGACAAATTTTCACTCTGCCTCGGTTCCTGGAATTGTGTGAAGATGTTTGTATTACTCTGGGACTCTGCCCTGCGTGAGGGGTGCTATATAAGTGCACGTTGTTGTTGTCTTACAGCGTATGTCTTTGGGAACATGGCTCAAGCAATCCTGGGAAGCTGTATGGAATTCCCATGCTGCATATGCCATAAATGTGGCGTAGGCTGCCATCTAGTGTGTTGAGCACTACCTTAGTGCATGTCTTCCAACAATTTACATATTCAACTTGGAGTACAGGGTTGTGGGATTGTTGTTGAGGCAAGAGGTGAAATAATCAGTTTAGATCCTCGATGTGTGTCTCAGTCCCTTCGTCCTCCCTGCTTGTGTCCTGTCTTTTGCCGAGGTGAAGTGCTCACATGCAGAGTCACTGCGAATGTGGCGTGAATTCCTGTTACTAACCGACGTTTCTGCTTTATCTCTAGGTTCGCATCGCAGCCAATTTCATCACCCACGCACCACCGGGAGAGTTCAACGAAGTGTTTAATGGTAAGTCGCTGAGCCTTCTTGTCTGCTCTAATATCTCGCATCATTGTAACCACAGCACTGCCACACCTGTCGCACGTTTGTGTTGAATATTAAAGTATTTACAAAAGTTCTAACATTTGCAGGTATACAGCGAATGCTTTCTCTAACAACGTCTGAAACCAATAATGATCCATCCTGCTAGCTGAAGGATATCCTTCCCAAAATGTGCATTAAAGATTGACAATGTTCCATCTCCTGTAGCATGAATTATTAAACAATATGGCATGATAAATACAGCTTAAAAGCTTTTGGTGAATGAATATAAAGTTGTTTTATTCTCAGTGCTGCTGTGCTGCAGGACTGCACGGGTGGTATTTGGTGACGTATGATTCGAGCTTAGCATCCGTATCCTTCACTTACCTCGTCACTGCCTCTCGTGGTTAGTAGAGTTTTAACCACAACTCAATGCAGATGGTAGTGCACAGTGTCTCCGAGTAGTGACGGCTGAGAGAATTCATTAATTAGGAAAGGAATCTAATGCTCGCCTTATAAAGTGAAAAGGAGCTCACATCTCCCACTGCTACAAAACGTGTTTCAAACTGAAGTAGGATTCGCGTCCAGTGCGGTGCTAATTACAGAGTCCATGTGCTGTTTGGCCAAAGAGTCTGCTCCAGAATTACTGTTTCTAAGCAAATGTTCTCTTTACAAGGGGGGAGTTGATTGGTGTTTTCCTGGAGTTACACTGGCTCTGTGGAGACCCTGATGAAACCAGGTATCTCCTCAGTATTCTAATGCACTGTTGCTGGTGACCAGCTTGTCTGACTAGTGAGATGAGGTGATGTAAATGTGTCCTCACACTGCGAGCCAAAGCCTGATATGTTGGGCGGTCCCAACTAGACACAATCCTGTGCGTTAATGAGTGCTTGTTGATATTTAGCTCAGAATGTTTCACCACAATTGGCTTTTTTTTAAACAGTAAAACTGTTTCCCGAAATCTTCTGTAAGTGCAGGTTCTTCCGTGCTATAAATATTCCATTGGCCGAGTCTGCCCTGGGTTCTGACACGTCCATTGATACAAATACTTTATCATTTTTTACTTTTCCTGTAGCTATGTATGAGCTTCCATGCGTGTGGTTTTGTGAATTGATTCTGGCAGTGAAGGGCATTTCCTTTAGTACAATACTGACCTGACTAAACAGCAGTTCTGATTTGTTTTGCAGATGTCCGGTTACTCCTCAACAATGATAATCTTCTCAGGGAAGGAGCCGCGCAGTAAGTGTCTAGGAGCCTCGTGGGCTTTCACATTGTCCAGTTATGGGAGCTCTGTCCCCAGCACAGATGTGATTTTCCTCATTACACAAAATGTCAGTTTGAGATCCGGGTCCTCACTTTCGAAGCCCTCTATGGCCTTGCTCCCCCTACCTGTACGACCTTCTAACCCCCTACCAACCTGCCCGCTCCCTCTGCTCAGCTGGCTCCAGCCTGCTTCACATCCCCCGCCTCACCTGCCCCACCATTGGTGGGCGGACCTTCAGCCACTCTGTCCCCACCCTCTGGAATTCTACCCCACAGTCCCTCCATGTTACCCCCTCCTTGCTTCTTCAAAATCCATTTCAAGACCCTCCTCTTCGACCGTGTCTTCGGTCGCCCTCCTTTTCCCAGCCTCTGCCCTCCACCCTCCCCAATCCCCAGCTCGGTTCCAAAACACTAATTGTCCAGCGTCTCCTGACGTGAAAGGCGCTGTAGGCATGTAATTTTGGTGATGTAAATGGCTTCAGACACTCCTGGGCTAGATGCAGAGTGAAACTCTTTTGTTTTGTCAGCTTTTCCATTAAAGATTCCACTTTTTCTGTAAACTGCGCTGCTCATCTGCATAATAGGGATGGGGCAGTACATTGGTGTGATTGCTGTCCAGTGGGTCATTTACTTACATGGAATGATACAGTGCGGATATAGGCCAATTAGTCTGTGCCGCAGACACTAATGTGCTGTTTCTTGTTGCAGTGCGTTTGCTCAGTATAATATGGACCAGTTCACTCCTGCCAAACTTGAGGGGTACGATGAACAGGTAAGAGGCAACTTGATAATTAGTCATGATGTGAAAAATGTTTGTGAGGTGCGTTTAGGACAGCTTCCTGCTGTTTAGCATTTATCTTACAGTAAGGTATGAAGGGCCTTCCCTTCAGGACCTGGATATGTTGGCCAAACTTTCCAGAAAACTGCCTGTCATCAGTATTTTTGTGGCACTTTGTTGTGCGAAAATTGGCTGCCGTATTTGCATACAAAATAAAGTCAGTACACTTACCTATGACATGCTTTGTGGTATTTTGAGTCAAGGTAATTACTATAAGATGCACAAGGAAAAAGAAAGAAAATGACAAAAGTTTTAAGGTTTGAATTCTTGCTTCCTCAGGTGCTGATCACGGAGCACGGTGATCTGGGCAACGGCAGGTTTTTTGACCCAAAGAATAAACTGTCATTCAAATTTGACCACTTGAGGAAAGACACCAGCGACGTGAGAACTCACGATGGGGAGAGCTCAATGGAATCGTGGAGGAGTGCCTGTGACAGTGCCCTACAGGCCTACGTCAAGGAACATTACCCCACAGGTGTTTGCACTGTAAGTGTAGCAGCCTCACCCATTCACTTCAGCAGCAAACATTGGGCAGCAATGAGCAATGAATTGTTTACTATCTTTCTGAAGTATGTTCCGGTTCTTTGTTTTAATAGGTTTATGGGAAAACCATAGATGGGCAGCAAACTATTATTGCTTGCATTGAAAATCACCAGTTTCAGCCAAAAAATTTCTGGTAAGTTTCATTTTTATGAACTGCAAATAAAGCTTTTTTTTTCTCATGAATGCACAATGAAAGTACAGCACCCAAGTGTTTGTGTGAGGTGTAGGCTAGCTAGGGGTGGTTTTCTGCGTGTGTATGTATGTGTGAGGCTATGTGTATTCCACTTTGACGTGAGGCATTCACTGGCTTATTGTCTGCTTAAAGGAATGGACGTTGGAGATCAGAGTGGAAATTCGCTATCACCCCAACTTCAGCTCAGGTCACTGGGGTCCTAAAGATCCAGGTGAGTGAAAGGCTGCCTCCTGTATATGTCTCTTATCTAGTACAGTCAGTAACTCCCAGAACGTCACTGCCTCACACCCTGTGCTTGTGTTCCAGGTACATTACTATGAGGATGGGAATGTCCAGCTGGTTAGTCACAAGGATGTCCAGGAATCCATCCAAATTACAGTAAGTCACTCGTCAAAGCATGTGGCTAAAATCCAGAGAGAAAGTGTTATGTACTGTCTTATCCTGTCCACTAATGAGCAATGCTGTCACTTAATGAACCCAGCCATGGGCCTTGCTGACACACAATGATAGGCTTTGGATGAGACAAATCAGGTCCTGTCTGCCTGTTTTAAATGATTGTTAAAGTTGCCTTGGTACTAAATAGCCACAAAGTGAATGATCGATGTCTCTGTTGCTCCGGCCACTGGGAGAAACTCCCTTCTCTTTTCCAATGCTGTTGGGTATCTGACACAACAACGACTTGTGTTTATATAGCGCCCCTCATGCAGGGTCAGAGGCAAGATTGCCACTGGCTGCACTAAGGTAACTTACTACTGTTGATGTGACTATTTTTTAAAGACATTCTTCACAGTTGTGAGATGAAGTATTTGCAATATTTAACCCTGACTTTTCTGACCCATTCAGAACGAAGCCCAAACTGCAAAGGAGTTGGTGAAAGTGATCGAGGCGGCAGAGAACGATTACCAGGTAAATGGTGGCTGTGGGGCGGGCAGTAAATAATGGAAAGAAAATGTGCTGAAGTGATTTTGATGTAGCTGTTGGGGTGGGGGCTGGGTGTGTGTGTGCGAGAGGTGGTGGTTCTGTCTTCCTTGCGGTATAACATGGTTGCTATCTGGTTTCAGACTGCCATCAACGAGAATTACCAAACCATGTCCGACACCACTTTCAAAGCCTTACGCCGGCAGCTGCCAGTCACCCGCATGAAGGTTACCTGGAACACGATCACCGGTTACCGGATCGGCAAAGAAGTGCAAAATTTCTAGAGCAGCTCAGGGTCTCTGCGCTGTGGCCAGCGTGTGGGGTGTGGTCTCACTGAATGTGGATTCAAAAGCTGTTCCTTCGCTCCAGTTTCTGCTTTCTTTCCGTTCTCCTCCCCCTCCCCCCCCCCAACCGTCCCCCAACCTCAACCCGTACAGTTTGTTAAAGGTTGGGGAAGCTCGCATTGTTCCTGACAACTTTTGACGTTGAGCCTTGTACACAAGTAATTCTCTTCCTCTTCCCCAACCGTTCTGACTGACGCATCTGTATAGATCGCTAGGTAGCAAAACACAGGTACCATCTTACCCCAATAGACTGACGGTCCTACCACGTGTGGGGTGGGAGTTAAACGGTTGCCGCTTTGGCTTCACAATTCCAGCCGCCCCCCCCACCACCACTTCGGTTTGGTTTTAAGTACAATGGTTTTTGATGTGTCAAATTCTGGTAATGATTGCACACACACACACGGTTACCTTCTGGGAATGCCCCTAGCTCAAAGCTGAAGCTTTCTGGCTGATAGGTGAATGAGCATAGGTGGTGCTGAAGTTGTTTCATGGCGACAAGTGGTTTGGAAAGGCAGCTTTGATATTGCTTGAGCTGTAGAGCTTTATCCCGGACATGGCTCCCTCCCGCCACCCCCCCCACCCCCATGTCCACTGCTCCTGTGAGATCGCACCTTCCCCGTCGCTGCCAGGAGGCAGGAGGCATGGGTTCTGCTTGAATAGCGCTGCTTGTGACAGAAGAAAGCTTGGAGCATTAGAAGGGTCTGAAAACGTCTCTTTGTCCCCCCCACCCACCCCCCCTCCCCACTGCCTCTTGTCCTCTCCAGTCCTCTTTCCCCCTTCCCACCATCCTTCTCCCCCCCTGCACCAGTAATTGTTATGAGTGACAGTTCTAATCATATGTACTATATTTCATGTCACATCCACATGGTCACATGTAAAGCGTTTCAGTGGATAATACACCCGAGTTCTGTAAAGCACCAGGTTCTCTATGTACTGACTGTACATAAAGTGAGAAGACAATAACAGACGCACATCAGAAGCTGTGGCAGGGAGTCATGGTGACCAGAAATGACCATCTTATTGTGAACAAAGACCAACTTGAGATTGATTTCTATAGATAAAAATACAGTAACTGTTATTCAGAGATGTTGTAAAGTACCTGTGGGAATGGCCATTTCCTGCTGTTGGGAAGGTTCACCATAAAAGGGTTTGGAAATGTGTTAACAAAAAACTGGGAATGTACAAATCTTTAAATCTACAGCTCACTGATCAGTTGGGGAGGGAAAAAAGGGATTAGAAAATGGTCACTCTTTATAGAGACATTTGACAAGGTTTACGCAGTCTTCCAGGCTAGCTCCGGCTCCAGGGCACCCTTCCTGTGGCTTCTTAATGAAAAAAATGCTTGCACAACTTGTAGCAAAGTTTACTGTAGTAATTTTACATCTAAGCCGATTTATCTGTTTCTCCAGTCATTGCCACATGCTCAGTACATTGATGTACTGGGTATGAGAGGTGTAACCTCAGGCAATGATGGACTCATCTCAACCTATCCCCATATTCCCCTGTCCATCACCTAATGGATCCATTTTGTCCATGGGTCACCTGCCATTGTCTACTGGCCACCTATCCCCTGTCACTACCAAAGGGTCATTGGCCATGTTCACCAGCCATTGCCTTTCACGCAGTGAATGGATGCCTCCAAACACCCAACAATCTGAAAACACCAGTCATGTGCGGCCTGAGTTTGGGTGGAGAATGGCAGCACTAGCATTGGTAGGTCTGAGAGGTGATTGATTGGAAGTTGAGATGTGATTTATTGGGTGTTTCACCTATTTGCTAAACAGACGGGCACCATATCTGAACTGGTGAAAGAACAAGCAAGACAGACGCAGACTAGTATTATCCATGCGATTATTTTTACAGAACTCTGTACTGGTAACTTTAAAAAAAAGGACAAGTTGTAATATAACACCCTATATTCTAATCTCCTAATGGCTGTCTGGCTTTCTTACTCTGAATTGATTTGCACTGTAATTTTCTCCTGTTTATAATGGAAAGTGTTTTGCTGCACAGCCACGGGCTGGGGGGGGGACAACAACAACAAGATTGCATTTATCGAGCGCCTCTCAGGACATGTCCCAATGATGCGGGGATGGTGGGCGTCAGACAGCTCATTCACACGCTGTTACATATCGGGTCTTCTCCATTGGATGGATCTTCACAGCTTCAGTGTCAGGAAGTGCCCGTGCAGCCAATCCTTTTATTTCTTCTCATTTCAATACAGTAAAAAATTAATTACATTAGCTGATTTTCCCGCCCAGTTATTTCTTTTTTTAAAAAAAATGATGACTCCGTGAGCAGGGGCTGCGGGTAATCGGGGAGCGAGGAGTGGGGGCTTGATCAATAACAGATACACCTGTGGAATTTATTCATTAAAAGTAACTTAAAAATAGAATTGCCAAGGCTGAAATCAGATGCAGAATAAGCCTGGCCCATAGTAAGCCTGGCCCATGACTTTAGTGGGAAACTGACTTTTCATATGTCCCTGTAGAAAGGAGCTGGGGTGTCCATTCCCCCTCCATTCTGGACAATCCGCCTCAGGGGCTTCCATGGGGAGGGAGGGATAGCTGTTCTGTTGTTCCAGTCACTGCTTCTCAATCGCAGACTCTATTTGTCTGGCTCCTAATCTAGTAGTTCTTACTTTCCCTGGACTTGTGAGCACAATGTTATTAAAAGCCTAACGGATATAATTTGTGCTAACTTCCCCCGTGGGCCCTTCTGGGAAGGAGGGAGAAGGGAGGGGTGTTTCCAATTCTCTCCTGCTCTTATCTGGGATACTGCCCACCTCCTCAGTGATTAATGTTACCCTGGGAGTACAAGTATGGAGAGCAGCACAGCTGAGCCCAATATCTTCCTCATTCCCCTCACGCCTTCCCCAGCCCAGGATTGAGGCTCAGTGTAGCTCTCAGGCTGGAATCCACTTGCTCAACACCAGGTGGTGCCATGACTCAGTGGGGACATGGTGTCAGACACAAGCCAATCATCACATCACTGGGATGTCAAGTCTCAAACATCTTGATGTCTGTTGCAGGAACTCTCCTATGGGAAATGCAACTGACTTTTGCTCAGGGTTTTCTGGGTTTGCTGACAGTGATGTAAGTACTCGCTGCAGCTCAGGGTAGCTGAGGCTGGGCTTCACCATTTGGAGATGCTGAGAATCCAACCAGAAGCTGCAGTTCCATGAATTTGCTTTAGAAATGTAGCACATGTTCGCCTGCAATGGTGCTGTGGATCATTAACTTACCGCAGCCTCCAGCATCGGCACAGTACATGGTCTCCAGTATTGAGGTGAATTGTCGATGGATTCAGTCACCAAAGTCATTAAAAATCACATTTTCTTGGCAGTATTGATTGTACACAAAGGCACGGTTACTGATCGCGAGAACAGAATGAGGAGTTTCTTCAAAGTGGAACCTTCTCATTGTCTTTCCTGACTGACTTTTCTGACTTTCAGTTGCTCCTCTTCACGTGTTTATACGTCTAAAGAAACACATCCCTCATGTGGTCTGGACACTCATCTGTTCAGGCACTGAAGAGAGGAGTGAATAGAAACAACATGAAGATTATACCATCTGTTTGTGGTCAACTGTCCCCACCAATCATTATCCAACTGTGTTACATTTTCTGTGTAATATTACCCAATTGGTATTCGCTTGCTATAATCCTTGCATTTCCATAACCACAAGATCATCAGGTTATCACTCACACCGAAACCACTTCATTATTTATGCATGTGAAGACTAGCTGGTTAATGCCTTTTAATGGCTTTTTTTGCCTCAGGTAAGACGTGAGATAACTACACAGATGTTAGATAATCATAGAACAGATCCTTCAAATAGATGCTGTGACTTAATTTCACAGTAATGACAGTGACTGAGGTACAATGTACTGCTTAGCAAAACAGTTCAGTTAAACCTGTCTTCAAAAACCTAAGGTGAACTTTATATAAGGGTAGCCTTTGAATAAGAGTTTGTGGACATCAATAATCTGACCAGGCCCTTTCTTCCAGGGTAGTTAACAGGGTTGATTGCTAAATGGACGTGGTTGCTTGAACAGGTTTGACTACATTTTTATGTCAAGAGAACTGACCCTCAATGCTTTCCCCACATTAGTGTGTGACTCGATCAGCAGCACAGGAGTGGTGAGAAGGAAACCTGCGGCCGAGTGACTCCAAGCTTTTTGAAAATATATATTTATAAATAGAATATTTAGTACAACAGAAATCCAAAACAAACACATCTTCTGTTACAATTTTTTCTTTTTCTCCTGATACAAAAAGAACATTCTGTGGTTTATGGTACATTGCTTTCCAGCGCACAGGTGCTGCACAAGGTTTTTGGGGCCGTTCCTTTTAAAACAGTCAGGAGTCGCCCCGTGTACCCCACATCCACCCGCACACACCCTGATCAGGTGCTTTTTCATCTATTCTGTACAGCTCCTTCTGTACCGTAGGTTTATTTCAGTCAGTTTTAGGTGCGTCATGGGCCACCTGGTGGGTTCGCCCTGAGCGGTTTGTGCCGGAGCGGCTCCTGCCTAGGTTTAAGCGCTCTGAGGCGCTACCCTGCGTAGAGGGCGCTATGTAAGTGCAAGTTGTTGTTGTTGTACTCGAACCAATAACAAGACAAACAAATACAACATTGGAGACAGAGAATTGATCCTCAACACCGACATCTAAATCTAGCGGCACTTTAACAAATGTTAGTAAATTAAAAACCAATCTTGACTTGGAGATCGTGCCTCTCAATCAGACACTTGTGGAGACCTGTAGCTCAGCGGTTAGAGCACTCGCCTTGCAAGCGAGACACTTGGGTTCAGTTCCAGGCAGGGGGAAACCTTGGGCAAGTTTCCTTACTCCACACACAGCCCTAATAATAATTCCTCTAAACAAAACAATAATAAATTGGTCATTTTCAATCTACGACTGTTTGTGGGACATTGCTGTGCGCAAATGGCTGCCAGGTTTCGTCCACAAATATACAGTCAATTCACTTTACAGTCTATTCTGTGAAGTGCTTTGAGACGTCGAGAAGATGTGAAAAGCGCTATATCAAATGCAAGGATTATTATTATTATTACTTACCCAGATGGTCACCAAAGCCCAGCAGCAATAGGTACAGATACTTCTAAATAAAAGGGTGGATGCTCCACCATCGGCAGCCGCACTTACAGCCACTACACCCCGAAACTCTGTCACTCTCTCCCAATCCCTCCGCCTTATCGCCTCCTTCCCCATTTTCAAATGGTGCCTGTCCTGATAGACATGTCTGCCTTCTTCCCCCCACCCCCGTCCCCCCCTCGGCTCAGCATCAGGCTCCGCCACTGTTAAGCGCCCCCGAGACGCTGCTCTGTGTGAAGGGTGCTGTGTAAATGAAAGTTGTTGTTGTTGTGTTGGGGTGGGTTGGGTCAATGTTGGCAGTTTGGGGCAGTGTCTCTCTGTCTCTCGTCAGATTTTACTCCGGTTATTTACAAAGAGGATGTTTAGTCCGGGTGGGGGGGGAGGGAGGATGTACCGGGTCAGTTGGTGGCTCTGAGACAGGCTGTGAGTGTGTCTTGGGGCCAAATGGACTCACAGACTAATAGGTTTGAGGCTTTCACTTTCGTTTCTTCGATGTCTTGTGTTTAGCAAATACCAGAAATTCCCAGTGTCTGACTCCTTCCCTACTCACACACACACACACACACAGAGCACAGGACACACACACACACACACACAGAGCACAGGACACACACACACAGAGCACAGGACACACACACACAGAGCACAGGACACACACACACAGAGCACAGGACACACACACACAGAGCACAGACACTGGAACGGTTCCTCTTTGGCTCCAGGTTTTCAGGAAGTTTATAATCTTTTGTATTTACTGAGTGTTTTCTGCTGTTTGCACTTTGCTGGGAAGCACATCAGTTGTGGGCGATGCCAGTCAGTCTGAAAGAGAAGCGAAGGGTCGGGCTGCAGTTCATTAAATATCTGCGGGAAACAGAACAGCAGGAGATCACCCTCAAGGACACCCTCAAAACCATCTACAATCTCGAATTCAGAGTCAGGTAACTTGCTTTACTCTCATCCTTCTCCCCGCAAACTACCCGCATTATGGGGGGGGAGTGTTTATTGTGTAAAATGTAGTGTAGAGTCAGTGTGTGTGTGTGTGTGTGAAAGGCAGTGGCAGAGGTTTACAGGTGTTTTTTTTACACAGTGAGTGCCCTCTCTATACACAGGCTCCTAACCCTAACTCTGGCTTAATCATTGTCCACACTTTCTCTACTCTCTTCAATAATATTTCTTTTCAAGTATACAATGTGCGTCTCTCTCGTCTTCCTTTTAATAATAATAATCGTTGCATTTAATATAGCGCCTTATTATGTTGTCGAGACATTTCAAATCGCTTCACAGGATACACTATAAAGTGTAATAACTGTGTGTTTTGTGGGCCAAACACGGCAGCCAATTGCGCCCAGCGACGTCCCCACAAACAGTCATGAGTTGAGTCACCAATTTGTTTAAACATCCTATTTGTTTCAGCCTGTGCCTTCCACACTCTCACACTCACTGTGACAAAATATTTCCAGTTTAGCATTAACTTTAAGTTGTGTCTTTATTGTGGATTCCCCTCCGGAGGGAAGAATTCAGTCAGATCCGCCCCAGCCCATTGTTGAGGGAAGATTCCCAGCTTCAGTCAGCCTCGTGTGACCTGGGTATTAATCTGCCGAAGGGTCTGTGGATTTGCTGCCAGGCCAGAGGGTGGAGGGTTTGCCCGAGGCAGGGCTGGGGGCTGTGGGGGGCACGGCTGGGGGCTGTGACCTCTGTGCCCTTACAGTGTTGGGTTTATGGATGGCCATCTCAACTGTGGCCAGAACAGACCAGATTATTCTGTTTTGGCCAAATTTTAAATCAGGAAAATCCGTGAACAGAGGTACTAAAGTACATTGTATTTTAAAGCTTGTTTACTTTCTTTGCATTAGTTGAATAAACCCAGTTACTGTCGTCCGGGAGACCACAGGCCTTATCGGCTATTACACTCATGTACAATGTGTCACTGTAATGATAATATCAAAGTTCATAACCAGTGGGCGTTTCTGGTTTCTCTCGCCTTTGGAATGTTGATAATAGAATTAAACGATGAATTAAAGACCAAATTAAAGACAGGCTGTCGTGGCCTGTTTCGTGTGGCAACTCGTGTTCTCTGTTGTTCAGACTGCTCTTCTCTTGTTTTTCTTCGAAGTTGTTGGAATCGCAGGAACCTTGAAAAGTCGGGGGTTGAGGGAGATTAAGGGAACACAATGATTTCCTCTCTCTCACTAGCTCGGTCCCCAACCACAGAGATAATCAGTCAGACTATATCTTAAGGGATATCTATGTTATCGTTGTATTTTGACACTGAGACGCGAGGCACTGGCTGCGGCCCAGCTGCGGGTGGTTTACAGGCCGGGACCCATGAGTTGATTCTAATTAAAACAACTTAATAATGAAGCAGAGAGCAGCACCGCAGCTGTGATAAACACACTCCTTCTGAACCAATTAAGCTCTCCACAGCACCACATTCTATCATTTCCTCATAACATTTTATCTGGAGTTTTACCAACCTACCCATAACATATGTCACTTTTAGGCATAAACTCTACCCTTCAGCTGAATCAGATTAGGATCCTAGTGTCTACAAGTCATTTCAATACGTGCCAACAAGTATAAGCAACCTTCACTCGATCAAACAAACCATTAATAATCAAGATTGTCATTCCACAGGTCGGCTAACAAGCAAACACAAGCATTTCTAACAGAACTCAAATAATATTTTAAGCAATAATATATTTCCGTTCACAACAGTAGAACAAAATGGGCAAGGATTTCCCCCTTCCCCGCGCCCCCTCCCTCAGCACGCCTCTCCCCCCTCCCACCCATGTCTCTAAAGCTGCCGTATGTCAGGATTTACGTTTTCTTTCCAGAGACGATGTTCTGAGCGTCAACTTCTCCAGCGTCATTTATGCTCTCAGAACCTCCAGACGAGCCTCGGTGTCAAACGGTCACATTCACTTCAAGGCCCAGGTAAGCGCGCTCGGGTGGGGGAGGTTTGTGGTGCCGTTGGTCTGATACCAGCCGCCCCCATGTCTGCCCTGTTGCTCCCCCCTCAACCCCCACAATGATACCCAGGCTGTTACCAGAACACATACCCCTCAGGCCTTGCCCCCCCCCACACACAGTTTGGCTTCCCCCTACCATCTCCATTGCCACCCCATAATCTTCCCCCAGCTCCCACCCGCTCTAACTAACATTTCTCGTGCAGGGATGGCGAGTGGTTTACACTAACCAGTACCGCACGGCATGGCAGGAACCCACGGACACCTCGAGCCCCCAGCGCCTGGTCACCGGGCGGCCAGAGTCCGGCAAGAAGGCCCGAACCAGGCACATCATTCAAACCCTGAAGAACAAGGATAAGAGGTAGAAAGCAGGTGTGGGGGGGAAGTTGTTGTTGGCTTCCAGTGTATGGGGCTGTGTGTAACGTGCCGTGTGTGGGGCTGTGTGTAATGTGCCGTGTGTGGGGCTGTGTGTAATGTGCTGTGTGTGGGGCTGTGTGTAAACTGCTGTGCATGGGGCTGTGTGTAATGTGCTGTGTGTGGGGCTGTGTGTAATGTACTGTGTGTGGGGCTCTGTGTAATGTGCTATGTGTGGGGCTGTGTGTAATGTGCTGTGTGTGTGTTCCAGGTTGCAGATGGTTCGTGACCAGGGAGGGGTGCGGATCTGGTCTGATTGTGACGTGGGCGAAGGAAGAATCCAGGCCTCAGTGTCTCTGAATGAAGCCAAATGTGTTGTTGTTCACATAGACAATGAGGGGAGTGAACCTGTCACTCTCCTGCGCTGTGAGCTTCTCCGCAGAATCAAAGTCTTCTCTCTCAGCGATTGCCAGGATGTGACCAAATCCAAACCCCATGAGCTCTGTGCAGGTAGAGGGAGCTTTACTGTGTCTCTAACCCTGACCTGGGAGTGTGGACGCACAGTGTAGAGGGAGCTTTACTGTGTCTCTGTGGCTGAAATGTTGGGGTGTACGGCCTATCTAGTTGAGGTTGTTGATGAACACTCTCCTCCCTAGGATTGAGCCATGAAGTGGAGGTGACCTGTCATATCTCTCAAGCCGGCTTTTTCCCGGGGACGCTGGTCTTTGAGTTCCAAGGTTGTGATTCGCAGCCGTTCCACATTGTCCGCTTCCTGACCGCTCGCTTGGTCAGCGATTTGGTGAACGAGCTGAAGCCCTCGTCCCCGTACAGACCTCACCAGCTGCCCATCAAGCCACCAGTCACTGAAGAGGTGGAAGAGGGTGTCCGGCCATGCAAGTAAGCTATGATTTCAGGGAACGTTACAGTGTGACGTCGGCGTTTATGCCCCACACGAACCTCTGCCCTTCTGCTCCACTTAGTTCCCTTTTCCCCCTCACTCTTTTCCGCCTCCCCTTCTACATGCCCCCATTCCCCCCCCCCCCCATCCCCCATTACTGACCAATGGCGTCTACTTATCTTTGCAGCTTCTCAAACTACCAACTGGAAAGAGAGATCCCCCTGCCCGCCAGTAAATACCTGCCAACACTCTTCAACCTCATCAAAAGAGGGCTGAAAGCAACCGGCTTGGATCCCAGATTGAGTCAGGAGCAACAGAGGGTGAAGTAGGTCTACAAATGGACTGGTGTTGTAGGTGGGGGGCGGGGGGAATGGTGGGGGAGGGGGTTTAGGGATGGTGGGGTGATAGGGGGATTGTGGGGGTGGGGGGCCCTGCATAATGAAATCAGCCCTGGGCGCTGAGAGACCACCCTCACACCCCCCAAGGGGGGAGTTTCTGATGCCCAGGGCCGATATCACGATGCAGTCAATGGACGGATAGTAATACCAGAAAGGTATTCCTTCTTGTATTAATCCGAGCTCAGCGTTTTGTCTAAGATCAAGTGTAGTTTCTGTTCCCATCAGTTACTCGTTGAGCTAAAGCGATGCTGGGAACCTTCATCTCCTGTTGAGATTGTCTTGTGTTGTTACCGGTACCCAAACCTCACCCAGACCTGGACATGGGGAGCATTGAGCTCCTCTTGGCTACAGCTCTGCTGTCCGACCGCTGCTGGTTGGGGTCGGTATTACAGCACTTCCCACCTGAGGACTGAGATCTGCCCTCACACACACACATGCACCCGCCTGCCCTCACACACACACACCCACACGCACCCGCCTGCCCTCACACACCTGCCCTTACACACACACCTGCCCTCACACACACACCTGCCCTCACACACACACCTGCCCTCACACACACCTGCCCTCACACACACACCTGCCCTCACACACACACACACACACCTGCCCTCACACATGCACACACACAGAGATCTGCCCACACACATACACACATCTACCCTCGCACTCACTGAGAGCTGGTGTTGCTGCTGTTGTGCCTGTTGTTGTTGGTGTTGCTGTTGATGGTCCCCATGTGTGTGTGTGTGTGACTGACTAGTTGTGTCCCTTCCCAGAGCATTGCTGGACTCGAAGTTGAGCTTCCAGAACTATCCTGAGCGCTTCTCGCTGCTGCTGCACCTGGAGGAGATGCAGATGGAGACGGACATCACCAAGTACAACATGACCGACGCCAGCATGCTCCGCGACCCCAGGAACCGTGAGCTCCTGGTCCTAGAGGTGGGTGTCTCTCTCCCTCAGCTCCTCCTTCGATGACGGGTTTGTTTGCGGCAGAGGTTGGGGTGTAACTGAGCCCCACGAGAGTGGCTGAGACACCCCCTCCCCCCTGCTCCCCCCCCCCCCCCCTCGCTCCCCCGTCCTCTAATAATTTGGTCACTCAAACCACGACTGTTTGTGGGGACGCTGCTGTGCACATTTGGCTGTCGCGTTTCGTCTGGAAAATATACAGTCACTACATTTTACAGTATGTTCTGAGAAGTGCTTTGAGACATTCCAGTGATACTGATACAGTGATTATTATTATCTTTAATATTATGGTTATTATTACTCTCAGGCCTCAGGCTGTAAGCTCGGGGCGGGGTGGGGGTGGGGTGTGTGTGTGAATATGAATTTATTAGGGTTTTTCTGCCCCCTTTTTCCCCAGGTGCCGGGTGTGGCTGAGAACAGACCCTCTGTGCTGCGGGGAGACCACCTTCTGGTGACGAGGAGCGCAGACCGACACCTGCCCGTCGTCACCCGCTACAAGGGCTACGTCCACAGCGTGGAGCTCGAGCAGCTCAAACTGGGCTTCTCCCACAAGTGGGTACCCGCCCCGCCTTACCCTTCCCACACCCTACCCTGTCCTCCCACTGCCCCCACCAAGCCCCCGCCCTGCTCACTGCCCCGTCCCGCCTCTGCCTTGCTCTCGACACCCTGCCCGCCGTTAACTCTGCCCCACCTCCTGTTCCACCTCTCGCTGCACTCCCCTGTCCCACCCATCCCTAACTCCCCCCAAGCACTACCCTGCCTTGGCCCTACCCACCCCCCACCCAACACTGGCCATCACAATATATAAACCAGTCAGTGTTTCCTGTGTTGTTGTGGACGTTCTCTGCTCTCTCCGCAGACTGGTCAGCACATTTATAGACAACATGAAGTTCAATGTTTCCTTCACCTTTAACCGGTTTCCGTTACAAATGCAACATCGAGCCGTGAAACTGAGCCGTGAACACAAACTCCAGCACCTGCTCTTCCCCTCCTTCTCCCACGGAGTCTCCATAATTCCCCTGGACCAGAGCCTGAGGTGGGAGTAACCCCCGTGACCTGTCCAGCCAGGACCACCTTCTCCCAGTGTCTCGGTGGAGGTGGGGGGATGTTGGGGGGGAGATGTCGGTGGTGGGGGAGATGTCGGTGGGGGGGATGTCAGTGGAAGGAGGGGATGTCGGTGGTGGAGGGGTGTCGGTGGGGGGGGGAGATGTCAGTGGTGGGGGATGTCAGTGGTGGGGGGGATGTCGGTGGTGGGGGGGGATGATGTCGGTGGGGGATGTCAGTGGAGGAAGGCGATGTCGGTGGTGGGGGTGGTATCTGTGGGGGTGGATGTTGGTGGTGGGGGGTATCGGTGGGGGGAGATGTCAGTGGTGGGAGGGGATGTCGGTGGGGAGGATGTCGGTGGTGTGGGGAGATGTCGGTGGGGGGGGATGAGGGGGATGTCAGCCTCAGGATGTCAGTGGATGGTCTCATGTTATTTCTCAGGCTTCATGATCGAGCGCTGGAGGAGAACCCAGAGCAGTTTGACGCTATTCGCTACATACTCTCGGGGCTGTCGCGCCCGGCTCCGTACCTGATCTTCGGGCCCCCGGGGACCGGCAAGACGGTCACGATAGTGGAGGCCATTAAGCAGGTGGTGGACCATATCCCCAACGCCCACATCCTGGCCTGCGCCCCCTCCAACAGTGCCACCGACCTGCTGTGTCAGCGCCTCCTCAAACACCTTGATAAGCAGAGCCTCTACCGTCTGAACGCCTTCTGCCGTGAGTGGAAACACATCCCGACCGATGTCCAGGTAAATCCCCCGTCAACCTCGTCTCCTCCCTTGGGTTACACGTTCGATACTGAACAACAGATAACCTGGAGTGGAGTATTGGAATCAAAGTTCATGTTATTATTATATTATTTTTATGATAATGTAAGGGTCGCATCAGGATTCTCTGACTGTTCTGCTTCCATGATTACTGGAAACCTCCCTTTCTTATACACTGGACTTGTTTACTACAGAACATCCCCTAATCACAAGGCTCCTACAAGACATCAAACTAATGTTATCAATGTCTAGGGTTTTTGCCAAGGATATCTTTATCTTTCCTTGAGCCTTTGTTTGCCAAGGACATCTTTCTAATTCACACACATTCCTGTAGTCTGCCCTGCACGGCGAGCAGATTACAGATCCCAGCTGGTCCATTTGTCTGTGGCCTTTCTCTGTGTCCACCTGGGATTAACTGTTGCATTGCTGCTCCCCCCAAGTGCGACTCTCTAACGCCTGTCTCGCTCTCTCTCTCTCGTGGCAGGAATGCAGTAACTGGGACAGCGCTGAGCAGACCTTTGTGTATCCGACCAAAGACTCACTGAGCAACTACCGTGTCATCATCACCACATTGATCACTGCTGGCAGGTGTGTTACTGTCTGTAACCGTGTGTGCAGGAGGTGTGTGAGTGTGTGCGGGGTGGGTGAGTGTGTGCGGGGGGTGTGCGGGGTGTGTGAGTGTGTGCGGGGTGTGTGTGAGTGTGCGCAGTGTGTGTGTTTGCGGTGTGTGTGTGTGTGCGGGGTGTGTGTGAGTGCGGGGGTGTGTGTGTGTGTGTGTATGCGGGGGGTGTGTGCGGGGTGTGTGTGTGCGGGGAACAGGTGTATATGTGTATGGTTTGTTACTCAGATGTCTCCTGTTCTCTCTGACAGACTAGCGTCGGCAAGGTTCCCGCGCGGACATTTCTCTCACGTGTTTATTGACGAGGCCGGACACGCGGTGGAGCCCGAGTGTGTCATCGCTGTCGCAGGTACAGCTCCCCCTACCCCCCACATGCTCCCCCTACTTCTCCTCTCCCCAGCTCCCCTCCCCTGCTGTGTGAGACCCTGTGATGAGCTGATCTTCTGCTCCCTGTCTCAGGGCTGTTGGACCCAATGGATTTGGAGAGTAACAGAGATGGGGGGCAGCTGGTCCTGGCCGGAGACCCCAAACAACTGGGCCCCATCCTCCGCTCACCTATCGCCATCGAACACGGGCTGGGTAAGTTTGGGGGGAAGGGGGGAACGAGAGGTGGGGAGGCGGGAAGGAGAGAGGGAGCAGGGAGGAAAGGGGACCTGTTTGACCGATGCTGTAACAATGTGAGCCGCGCTGACTGAGGACAGGAGATGAAATCCGGTGGAAACGCACTGGTTCAGGCTCTGATCTGACACTGGGGGGGCATGGGGAAGTGGGGGCCGCAGTGGGGGCGGACAGTGGGGACAGTGGGCTTCGGGTGAGAGTCTCTCCTCTCTGTGGCTGTTACTGACTCTTGGTTCCTTTCAGACCTGTCGCTACTCGAGAGGCTGATGAACAAGAATTCTCTGTACCAAAGGGATCCGGATTCTGGCTACAACAAACAGTTTGTAACCAAACTGCTGCGGAACTACAGGTATGATCTGCGCGAGGGTGGGGAGTGGGTGGGTGGGGGGGGGTTCAGGCACAGGTTGTGTGTATGCCAGGTGTGCTTGTTTATGCACATTTGTGTTCATGTTTATGTGAGTCTTTGTGGGCGTGTTTCTGCATCCGTGTGTGCATGCTGCGTGTTGCATGCGTGTGCGGGCGATAGACAGGAATAGAATATTGTACATTAACCGAACATGTGGCTGATTAAATTAATTTGGTCACTTCAATCCACGGTTGTTTGTGGGACGTTGCTGTACACAATTGGCTGCCACGTTTCACCCACAAAATATACAGCAAATCCATTTCCAATATATCCTGTGAAGCACCTTGAGACATCTCAACGATATGGTACGACGGTATATCAAATACAAGGATTATTATTATTATTATTTACAACCATGTGAGTGTGACTGCCTGTGTTCCAGGTCACACCGGCACATCCTGAAGTTGCCGAACGAGCTGTTCTACAACGAGGAGCTGCAGGAATATGCCAACGAGATCATCAGCAGTTCCTATTGCCGCTGGGAGCATTTAATAACACCGGTCAGTGTAGTAGGTGGGGCGGGGCTAGAGGGGCTGGGGGAGGGACAGAGGTGGGGTTGGGCAGAGGTGGAGGTTGGGTAGAGGGACGCTCACATCCCAATATTTGGATTTCCCAGGATTTTCCCATCATCTTTTATGGAGTTTCGGGAAAGGAGGAGCGAGAGGCGAACAGTCCGTCGTTCTTCAATGTGGAGGAGATCGAGGTGGTATTGTTGTACCTCCATAAACTCCTGACCAGCCAGGGCAAGAAGGGAATTGCCCGGATTTCACCCCGAGAGATCGGAGTCATCAGTCCCTACAGGAAGCAGGTATCAAACAGCGTTTCCAGCAAAGACGAGAATACCATATCCTTGCATTTTATATAGCGCCCGATCACGTCTCAGGCTGAGATTTGGTGGAATTTCCAACCTCTTGTTCCTGGTGCTGAACCTGTGGAATTGAAACAACTACTTTGTTTATCTTTCTCACAAGGTTGAAAAAATCAGGAGAGCAATAAACGGTTTGGACAAACAGCTTAAGAGCATGAAAGACATTAAGGAGCTGAAGGTGGGTACAGCGTGCACAACAACAACAAATTACATTTACACAGTACCTTTCATGTCGGGAGGCTGTCCCAAGGTGCTGGCCAGTCAGGCATTGGGACCATATTGTGCACAATATTGTAGCCAGGACTTGAGCAGAGTGGTTGCTCAATCTCACAGCATCTCATTTACATCGTATTCTCTAAAGTTAGTGTTGGATGTTAAAATTGGCTTCCAGTTGCAGATGTTCAGTAATAACCTGGGGCCCAATGTCCTCAATAACTGTTTTAACTTTGTTCCTTGGCTCTACGCCATTCATTTTACCTAAATTCAGCATTAAACTGCCTCCGCCACTAGCTGGTTGGCTCAGGTGCCAAAACTCTTCAGATTATCCTGATTCTGGTTATTTCTGAGCAAATGTGGTTGTATCACATTTACTGCAGCACAGGTGGCTGAACATGGTGATCCCAATGTTAATGATTAACATTCAGAGTGTGAGATGTTGCTGGTAGGGAGTGTTTGAGTGAGTGAGTGAGTCAATGAGGGAGGGAGGGAGGGAGTCAGTGAGAGAGGGAGTGAGTGTATGTGTGTGAGTGAGTGTATGTGTGAGTGAGTGTGTGTGTATGAGTGAGTCAGTGAGGGAGTCAGTGAATGAGTGAGTGAGTTTGTCAGTGAGTGAGAGGGCTATGTTTGTTGGTTGGCAGGTGGGATCAGTGGAGGAATTCCAGGGGCAGGAACGGAAGGTGATTCTCATTTCCACTGTGCGCAGCAGCTCGGAATATTTGCACGTGGACCAGGAATTCTGTCTGGGTTTCCTCAAAAACCCAAAGGTATGGCTCACACCCTTGCACTGCCACCCTCTGTTACTCACACACTCTCTGTTACTCACGGACTCGCTGTGTTACTCACGCACTCGCTCTTTTACATTCAGACACAGACTTGCTCCGGATCAATTGTGATCTTTTTTTTCTTTTTTAGCGGTTTAATGTTGCACTGACCAGAGCCAAATCCTTGCTAATAGTTGTGGGAAATCCTAGAATCCTCAACAAGGATTCCAACTGGAATAAGTAGGTCCCCCTCTCTCTTTTCCTCTCTCTGCCCTGCGTTTCTTAGTTCCACCTCTTTCCACTCCACCCACACACCCACCCACATACCCAAACTCACACCCACACACAACAGGACTTTAACCCTTGAGTCCCTGGTGAGGCTGTGTATAGTTGAGCAGTCCTGGTTCCCGAGCTCTGATGCTGGTGTGTATTTGTGGGCGACAGGTTCCTGAGTTTCTGTGTGAATAAATGCGGCTACACTGGGGCAGACTACGCTGATGACGAGGCTGAGGATGACGAGGCTGAGGATGACGAGGCTGAGGATGGTCTCGTTGATGGTCTGGTTTCACTGAACCTGGGACCAACAGGTAATTTCCAGACCATAAAGAAGTGATTGGATGTTAACAGCAACAAGAACAGTAACATTAGCGGTGACTGAAGGCATTAACTGCACCTGTTGTTCATGAAACCCAAAGCCAGGAGGAAACGGTAACTGTTTTGGCCTTTTACCCACTGTAAGTGGCAACTATCAACAACAGATTATATTTGTATAAACACAGATAGATGCCACTAACTTGGTGTAGAAACAGCGCTCTAGGAGGCTGGAGAAGCAGCTGCTGAGCTGCGGTTATTACTGTGATTGATGTAGTGACTGTTTCACTCTTTCCTGAAGGGTTTTTTGGTGACGTCAGCTCTGTCCAACACCAATTGGAGCCTGAGTGGAGAGGTGAAGTGTGACCTAAACCGGACTCTCAGATCACACCTGGAGCCTTGAAGTAACTGTTCTCCTCAATGTTCAAACCTAAAAACTCTTTAAAAGAAAAAGCTATATTAAGATTTTTGAAAAGAAAAAATTAACTCCTCTTAATTGACCAAAGTATCTTGTAAAATGTTCATTTCAGAATTGTAAACTTTTATACTATTTTTCTGTGTTTCGACCCAATTTGTAGTCTTTCGCCATTTATAGCTGCAGTAATACACCACGGCTTTCTCTCTCTCGTGTGGAGAGAGGCTTGGATTCAAACTCAATATCATCATTTTGTCATTTTATGAGGTGAATAAAGTGAGATCCCACGTGAATCTACATTAGCGAAAGTGCTTTAACGTGGGATTCCTTTACACAGAGACCAAAGGGGGAATCATTCCAGGAACTACAATTGACCTCAACCCAATCTGTAAGAACTTTGCTCTAAAGTTAGAGTGCTTCTGATTTCCTTATCAAAGAATCTAGTTACAAATTCCTGCCTTCAGGACACCTGTGTTTGCTGGTTTTATTCCTGTCTTATTTAGTGAATGTGCCTAAGTGCCCACTTCCTGTGGGACTAACTCTCCTGCCTGAACTTTGCTGTAATTTGCACTTTGCCAACAAGAGGTGTGGGTTATCCACACAGCACTGACTTTTCAGTCACTGGCACGTTTCCCAGTCAGCGGAGCTTACACTCTGGGTGTTCTTGCTCCTTGGTTGAAGACTAAAATAAGCCATCTTCATTTCCAGATCTTTCCAGCTTTTCACACATCAGTTGCCAGAATGGACTAATTTGCACATTGTGCTTTTGGTTTATTGTTATAAACAAGTGAAAGGGGGAAGTAGAGGTGCTCTTAATTACACATTTATAACTGATAAATGACTGTCATTTACAGACATTTACACGTTTAGCACAACCTGCAAACTAGACGTGTGTGTGTGTAGCCTAACATGGCTGCACATTACATTGCCTTCAAAATCTCACTCCACCGTGGGCGCTATCACTATATCCACCCAGCCCATAATGGTCTTATATGGGAATATGTGCAATGTGAAATGAAATGCTTCTAGCTTTACTTTACTTCTAAAGTTACTGATATTGTGCTTTACTATGTACATTACCTCCAGGTGTTTAATAAATTAGGAATATTGTTACAATACTCCTCAGTTTATCACAACACTGAATACGTGAACTTCTTTATCCTCTCTCCCTCCAATTGTGACCATTGAAATTAGTGAAACTATGCATCGAGTGAGATACCAACCCCCTCAGTGCTGCTCGACTCACCGTCTTTCTGTTCATCCATCTCTCTGTCCGTCTGTACGTCTGTTTCAGTGTTGAAGTGATTAGTCACTTGCTCATTGTATACCCAGCTACAGTTACAGGATTGAGGCCAAGACCTGCTTATTGGGTGGTTACAAATGTTCAGTAAATTTATTCTAGTATTTATACATTTGTTAAGTGCCGACTGTCTGAATACATTACAATTGCAGGACAAACGCACTTCACACAGTTAACCATCACCATAACACCAGCTGCTAAACACGGGACCCGCCAGAACCAGACACACTTTGCCAGCCACGAGCTTCCTCCGCAGCCACTTTTTATAAAATGTTTGTGTTCAGGAACATCCTCTTTGGAAATCGCTTCAGCAACATGAACAAGGCAATGTGTGGCAGCTCTAAACACACTACATTCATCATCCTGTGAGGCACAGCTTAGCTCAGGGCAGAGAAAGGTTCAGATGCAGAACACAGTTAGTGCTAAAAATCAGATATTATCCTTTATATAAATCTGAGCAAGTGAATACAATGAAGTCTACAAAACAAATCAGAATTGCCCAACGGATTGCTATTATACAGAAGCCAGGCTACACAAACAGGCAGAGGGAATGAGCAGCTCGCTCCCTGCATTTTCGGAACAGAAGGAAAGAATGCGGAGAGAATCTTCCATATAGAAATGGTTGTAGAGAATGTACAGGAATTAGATTTAAATGCTCATCAGGTTAGAAAACAGGAGTCCTTCATCCACATGTGTTCATGCTCCGAATATGAGGTATGTAATAGAACCCTGTGTGCAGTAGTTACTCTACTGATGATCTTTAGAACAAATACAACCAAAATAAACCTCTCCTTCACCCTCCCCAAGTGTGTGCCCCACCAGTAACTGACCAAGCTCCTGCACTGCTTAATTCCCATCGTGATCTGGACACTGATCATGTACACAAAGCCAAAGGCTCCAATCAAGAAAATACAAGTAAATTGGATTATTTAGAAAACAGACAGTGGAAGAGGCAGGAGGAAGAGTTTCCAATACACTGTAAAAAAGTTATTGTGTGAGAGATACATTTTGAAGGTGGGTAAATAACATTCTACAAAATCAGGCAAACTTTATTCTTCTTGGCCTTCTTAACTTGTAAGGCAGCCCGTGTGGCCATCTCAAAGACCTCGCGCACACCCTCCTTGGTCTTGGCAGAGCACTCCATGTAACCAAAAGCATTGATTCGGTTCGCCATGTCCCGGCCCTCATCTTGTTTCACAGGTTCCTGGCAAACAAACACTAGTATAAACAGCGGTGGAGACAACTGAACACTTTCCTTGGTGGTTTTACACATTTGAAATGCTGTCACTGTCCAGCGCCTTGGGACATCCTCCCGACGTGAAAGGCACGATACAAATGTAATCTTGTTATTGGAATAGAATGTTTTACCATTGCTAAAGGCAAGTCGCTAACATAAGGAAGTTGAACAAACATTTGGGTATAAAGGCAAGGAGGCTATTTCCATTCTTTAAGACCTTGCTCACCATTGCTGCTACTTTTAAGAGTCCAAAATGATTCAGCACCTACATGTGAGAGCAAAGTGTCGTGTACAGGGCTGTAGAAATTGATGGATTCTGTGAAACTTACACATGTAGGTACATTGAAGCAGTCACAACAGGAATGCCAGCACCTGCCTGTACATTGCCCCATAAATACGTACAATAGAGTCACACACCCTCTAGATTGCATTGAGAATGTTTCCACAAATAGAACAGGGCTGGTTTTACAAGTTACACTTTAACAAATCAATCCTGTTCACAAGGAAGCATTTGTTTCAGATCCAGGTCAGAGTTTAATGTCCTGTAAGCCACACAGAAACTTCCACAAGCCAAATTCTCACTAGAGCAGCTAATACACAGCTTTGTAATTAGTGCTGGGAGGGAGTACCTATGGAACAGTGAGAGGGGGTATGGGGAGGAGAGGAGGGAAGTTATACCAGTGCTCTGCATGCTGGGCAGCAAGTGCTCACTCTCACCTGTTTCATCTTCGCAAGCTCTCTCCGTGTGTGCTCATCATTTCTCAAGTCTTTCTTGTTGCCCACCAGAATAATAGGCACATTGGGACAGAAGTGCTTTACCTCTGGAGTCCATTTTTCAGGAATATTTTCTGTTGAATTACATATTCACAAGTTTACAACATTTGACAGCAGCTGATATCAAAACATCACAAAAATCACCAGAGGTTTCTGTAAAGTGGAGGATTGTATGAGAGGCCGTCGCAGCAGAATAATGTGCCCAGCAAAGCTCCTCAAGAACAAAAGGAGAACGACAGGGGATTGTTGGCAGGACATCAGGAGAAGCTCTTCCCTATGGGATTTTTAACATCCTGAACAGGTAGGGGGGACATTGGTCAGTTTAACATCTTATCTGAAGGATAATGCCTCAGACTATCCCCTATTATAATCCTTGCATTTGATACAGCAGCTTTCAGGCAAGCGGACTCTAGCACTGAATCACCCTAGACTGGGAGCTTAAAGTCCAGACATTGGGCTTAAACCCACAAATGAGGCAAAGGTGTTTCTAATTGAGCCAGGCTAGCAAGTTAGCAAAGAGCAGGTAAGTAAATTTGATAAGTACCAAAAGTTGCCAGAAAACAAATGAACATTATAGAAAACAAAAACAGAAGTTGCTGGGAACCCTCAGCAGGTCAGGCAGCATCTATGGAGAAAGGAAAGTGAGTCAACGTTTCGGGTCCACGACCCTTCGTCAGAACACAGATTTCCAGGATCTGCAATATTTTGTGTTTTGATTATAGAAAACATATTTAGCTTCAAGAACCAGACCAAAGCACTGGGGACTCAGGAGATTTCTCAAGTGCACGATTACCTGAAAGAGATACTCAAAAGGAATAGAGCGATTGACATACCTAAACTGTCTGGGCTGTCAATTGAGAAACACATTAAAATAACATCGGTGTCCGGATAGGAGAGCGGCCGCAGGCGGTCATAGTCTTCCTGCCCGGCTGTGTCCCACAGCGCGAGTTCAACCTGCAACAAAAATAGCTATGGTTTCCCAGCACAGAACAAGCTTCATATAAACCCCTTCACAACAAGTGCTGCCCCCCCTCACAATAAGTGAGCCTGAGTTGGAGTCAAGTCAATCCTGGGGCTCATACAGTTCCCCAACTCGGGGCCAGTATAATGTTTACAGCTACTTTAGCATAAGGTCACATTTCAAGTTGCCAAATAATTAGTCACAGAGAACAATGGTGAATGTTTAACCACCGATATTGTCCTGCCCAAAGCAACCAAAGTTTGACTCATTCACTTCTGGACTAAGCTTCAATGTGTTTCTAGCGGTTTCCACAGATAGACAATCTCACAATCCTGAGTGTCCAACTCACCTGTTTGGAATCCACTTCAATATCAGCAATGTAGTTTTCAAAGACTGTTGGGACATAAACTTCTGGGAACTGATCCTTGCTGAAGACAATCAGAAGGCACGTCTTGCCACAGGCTCCATCTCCAACAATAACCAGCTTTTTCCGAATTGCTGCCATCTCTGAAACAATCCAAACATTTATATTCAGTACAACAACAACACTACATTTGTAAAGTGCCTTTCACGTCGGGAGGGCATCCCAAGGCGCTGGACAGACCGAGTACGGACCTGAGCTAACAGTACAGAAACTCCTGCCCAATTTCCATTCCTCTAAACACTCCGTCTCCCTTTCTTCAGTTTCTTTTTATACTTCCCATAAATAGAAAATGCAATTCACATTTATACCTCACCTTTCACATCACAGCAAATAGCTTCGACAAAGCTAGATGAGCAAAAGTTTCCTCCCTAATGCAAATCCACTTAAAAATTTCAATTTAATTTGACTGCAGTATGATGTTCCTGCCACATTTGCCTAGCTTAATATTCTATATTAAACACCAAATTTCTTCATTTATTTCCAGATTCCCTTTGAAATCAAGTCATTAATTTAGGTCCCGTCTGCCTTGTGATTCTGTTGATCAAGGGCTCCTCTTCTCCCAGTACCCCACTCCTCCACTTTAGAGACATGATTTTCCCCCCTCCCCCTAATTATGTTGGTTTATACTCTCTCCTCATGCAAATTCACACCAAAATTCAAATTGAAGAAGCTTCAGGTGCAAGTAGTAAGACTGACTTTACTAGTCTGAAATGTAACAAATAAACATGCTAATAGAATGAAGCTTCAGTTATTAACAAATTAAAGTTTACCTAGTGAAGCTTAGTTGGAGGTCTAACAATCTACTAAAGCGCGTTAAAAAATATAAATAAACTCACCTAGTTACTGAAACACAATAAAGTTTAATCCCGGGAGGTGACAGTTTTAATTAGTCCGTCACTACAGCCAATTTGCCTTTCTGCAACACTTGCCAAACAAGATTGTGACTCATTGCTACTCAGAGTCAACTACTGAATGGATACCTGGAACTCACCTCAAATGGCTCACACACCTGCACCCACTAAAGCTGCTTCTGGAAACACCTTTATTTTGCTCTGTTCACATTAACCAGTGAGGAGAATACTCTCCGAAAGATCAGCAATGTTGATACAGATATGCACACACACACACACAGTAAACAAATCACTGAGCAGGAAATAGTGACAAAAAGGAAAGTTACTAATGAAGATCTAGAGCTGCCTCCTGCCCTAATTTCCCAGGACGTCAGCAATGAGCTCAAACATTCCCCACAAGGAGCAAGAAGAGGATTAAACCTCATAAACTTCCTGCAACGGAATCATCGACAGTCACATCCTCAATGGGATAGGAAAGACCCACAACGGGGGAGGAAAAAAGATTTTTTTAAAAGTAGATACACACACCCAAAGCTCACAGAAACTATAATATCTTAACTGGTCAATATTAGTTAATCGTGTCAGTGGACAAAGAATCTCCCCTCCTCCAGAGGCATCAAGCAAGACCAAAATTATGCAACACAGATTCCAGTCACACTTTTCTCAATCTCTCATCATACATCAGAGCCAAGAGAAGGCGAATTCCCAGACTTCTGCCTTAACAACATCAGCTAAGAATAGTCTGTGTGACTCAGCTTTGCCTCGAAGGACGGGGACGGAAAAGCACCTCCCCAAACAATACAATGGAGATCAAGAACAGACGACTGTGTGTGCACACAAGTGGCAAGTTTAAGTATGAATTTTTAAACCTCTTTGAACTGAACGATAATCCTGTCCTGACATTGGATATAATGCCTATAATGTTATATAATGCCTATACAGGTCAGACTCTGCCACTGTTAAGCGTTCCGGGACACTACCCAGCGTGAAGGGCGCTATATAAATGCAAGTTGTTGTGATGTTGCAATGCACTTCACAAATAATAGGACTGTTCGGGGGAACCAAATAGCAGGCATTTTGCTCCCATAAACAACTACAAATAAAGTTATCAATTAATCGATGTGATTGTTGGGCAAGACACCAGCAGTAATCTCCACCATTTCCAACAGTGTTACAAGAGTGTTAACTTAGATCTTGCATCTTAACCAGCAGCACCACAAAGGAACATTAGCCTCAATGTCACTTACCAATTAAAGTTAACAACAAAATTATATTTTCACTTCAGGAGGACTTCCCAACAGAGTGGCACCAGAATCTCAACAGATTCAAAACTGTCTTTAATAAAAAACAGCAACTTCCCAATTTTATTTTTAAAAAGCTGTAAATTCACCGGCACAAATTTCCTTGCCAAGATTGTTGGGGGAAAATTCCAACAAACTACTGTAATCCCACCCACCTAGACTTCTAACCAATTAATGATGATCAGGCTGCGAGGATTTCATAAAAGGAAATTCAACAACCCATGACATTTAGGCAGTGACTTTCACATTAGGAAGAAGTCCCAAGGCACTGGACCCGAGCTGGGAGGTTGGGATCAGGAGGGGTGGAGGGCGGGAAGGGTAGGGGTAGGAGGGTGACCGAAGGCATGGTCGAAGAAGGTCTTGAGTTGGGCCTTGAAGGAGGCAAAGGGACTGTGGGATGGAGTTCCAAAGAGACCAACACCAACAAGATTTCATTTATAGAGCGCCTTTCACGTCGGGAGGATGTCCCAAGGTGCTGGACAGTTGGGTCGGGACCCGAGCATTGGGGGGAAATGGTCAGGGTGAGGGGAGGGAGGGAGCGAGGAAGGGGAGAATGGTCAGGGTGAGGGGAGGGAAGGGAGGAAGCGAGGAGGGGGTAGAGAGTCGAGAGTGAAGCTGAAGACACAGTTGAAGAGAAAGGACTTGAGACCGGCCTTGAAGGAGGAAAGGGAGGAAGCGGCGAAGGCACCGGGGGATGGAGTTCCAGAGCCTCGGGGCTGAGAGGCTGAAGGCCCGACCACCGATGGTAGGGCGGTTGGGGCGGGGGATGTGGAGCAGACCGGAGCCGGAGGAACGGAGGGTACGGGCAGGTAGGTAGGGGGATAGTAGGGCGGAGAGGGAGGAGGGAGCGAGGCCGTGAATGGCCTTGTAGGTGAGGATGAGGATCTTGAATTCGATCCTCTGGGGGATGGGGAGCAGTGGAGGCGAGCGAAGGCGAGGGTGGGAGTGATGTGGTCGCGAACCAAAACACAATTAAAAATAAAAATTCCTTCTCTCGCTCTGGAACACATGTGCAACATACGGGACAATCAACAAGACTCTGTGGCTCAGCACTTCCTCTTTTCTCTCTGGCAAATGATGCCCTCAGTGACAGGTCCTCACACGGCCCCTTCCCCGCAGTCAGCCCTGAGGCTGGCGAACTGTCGCTTTGTCTAATCAACGCTGAACAGCAGAGAAGCAGCAGCAGCTTTTTACTCAGTACCTAATGTGAGGGGGTCGTCGCTGCCGTGTTCCACCCACAAATTACACAAGCAATTCACTTTACAGCATATCCTGTGAAGCGCTTCGAAACACCTCCAGGATTATTATTAGTTATTATTATTATTGCAGCAAACACATAGTGTTCAAAGGCAGAACAGGTTTCCCTAAAGCTGAGAACACTCTTATTCGACGTTGACGCTGAGAGAGAACAACAAGTTATATTTATAGCACATTTAACAACGTTCTTCACCGCCTGACACTGAGCGGAAACCGCCCCCCAACATCAACAGCCATAACTCCCCCCGGAAGAGCCCCCCACCCGCAAGAGCCCCCCGAAACATCCCACGCAAGAGCCCCCCCCAACCACCACACACCATCTCTGCTCAAACACCTTACTGCAGGCGGCCCCTCACCCCGTGGCGCGGAGCACAGGCTGCCCAGGACCCGGGAAACACAGGGCAGCGCCGGGGAGAAGCCCCACAACCTGAGCCTGAGCCCCCCCCCACAGCCTGAGCCCCCCCCCCACAGCCTGAGCCCCCCCCACAGCCTGAGCCCCCCCCCACAGCCTGAGCCCCCACAGCCTGAGCCCCCACAGCCTGAGCCCCCCCCCACACAGCCTGAGCCCCCCCCCCACAGCCTGAGCCCCCCCCCACAGCCTGAGCCCCCCCCCACAGCCTGAGCCCCCCCCCCAAGCCTGAGCCCCCCCCCCCCACAGCCTGAGCCCCCCCCCCACAGCCTGAGCCCCCCCCCCCCACAGCCTGAGCCCCCCCCCACAGCCTGAGCCCCCCCCCCCCACAGCCTGAGCCCCCCCCCCCACAGCCTGAGCCCCCCCCCACAGCCTGAGCCCCCCCCCCCACAGCCTGAGCCCCCCCCCACAGCCTGAGCCCCCACAGCCTGAGCCCCCCCCCACAGCCTGAGCCCCACAGCCTGAGCCCCCCCCCACAGCCAGGCCCCGCTCCCCCCGCCCCCACAGCCAGGCCCGGGCCCGGCTCAGGGCGAGGCCGGGACTCACTGCGAGCACAGCCCAGACGGCTGGGCCTGAGGCCGGGGCTTGGCTTGTGTGGGGTCGGGCCCGGGGGGGGTACCGGGGGGGGGGGGCCCGGGGGGGGGGTACCGGGGACCTACCCGCTGCTGCTCTCAGGCTGGTGCTCTCGGGGGCGGAGGGGGAACCGGAAATTGAGCAATTCCGCCACCCCCTCTCGCCTACTTTTGACGTCACCCTCCGCGGAGCATCACGGGAGACGCTCCTTCAAACCGCCATTTCCCGCCTCAGCTCTTAAAGGGGCCGCGACAGCGCTTTTGTCAAGTTGGTCACCTGATCAACGACCACTGTGGTGTGATTTCCATCTCCTGCACTGACTTCGGGGCTGAGACATTCTACTTTACCTATAATTCTGAGCATTGAGTAGTCCTGTGGCTCAGTAATAATAATAATAATCCTGGCATTTGATATAGCTCTTTTCACATCTTCTCGACATCTCAAAGCGCTTCACAGAATACACTGTAAAGTGAATTGACTGTATATTTGTGGGCGAACGCGGCGGCCAATTGCGCACAGCAATGTCCCAACAAACAGTCGTGGATTGAAAATGACCAAATTATTATTGTTTTGTTTTGGAGGATTATTATTAGGTGTGTGGAGTAAGGAAACTTGCCCAAGGTTTCCCCCTGTCGGGATTTGAACCCAGATGTTTCGTTTGCAAAACGAGTGCTCTAACCACTGAACTACAGGTCTATGGTTCATTGGTAGATTGCTTTTCCGGGGGTAATAATTCCTTCAAATAAATAATAAATTGGTCACTTCAATCCACGACTGTTTGTGGGACGCTGCTGTGTACTAATTGGCTGCCATGTTATGCCCTGAGAAAGACACAGTCGATTCACTTTAGAGTATATTCTGTGAATTGCTTTGCGATGTCTCGAAGATGTGATAAGGTGCAGTATCAAATGCAAGAATTATTATTACTATTATTAGTGTCAGCTGGAAACACAGTGACTCTGGGTCAGAAGGTTCTGGACTTAAGCTTTGTGTTGAGGAGCCTTGTTTGTCCTTGTGAGTCTCCTTCAGGTGAAGCATTAAATGAGGTCCTGCCTCTGTTTGTTCAAGTGGGCCTTAAAGATCTCATGACACTATTGGTAAAGATAAAACAGTTTCTCCTACGGTCCCGGCTAGCAATCCTCCAGATAAATTGTCATTGACCCTTGTCTCTGATGAGAACAAGTACAATTCCGTATACACATTCCTAAATTTAATATCCTTATATAATCAGCTCACAGGACACAACAACCCTGGTATAGAATGGAAGCAAAGATATTTTTGAGATCTGAAACGGGGACAGATTGCAAACCCATTGGTATGTAAGGGATGTAGGAAAGTGAAGATAATAAAAAAAAACTTAAAACCACAGCGGCCCAGATACAATGGACCGAATGACCTCCAGCGCTGAAAACTTCTACACTTTATATGAAGAGTGTTATAATAATAAGTGACTGTAATTGTAGGCAGACAGAGCAGTCGATTTGCAAACAGCAATATCCCACAAACAGTCATTAAGTGAATAGCCAATTTATGTTGTTTTGCCCATTGAGATATGTCAACAGGTCACTTTTTGAAAGCAGAATGAGTGAGCGAGCCTTTAGAGATGTGTTGCAACTGGAATGGATTTCCTTCTCTGATGTCAACCATGCACAATATATAATTTCATCACCGCTGGAGTCCTGTAATTGCACAACCAATGGCTGGGGCCAAGGCGAGGCACGGACCCAAAGCATCTTACTCAATATCGCTTAGAGTAAGAAATGCCTGAGAAACTTATGGTAAGCGTTGATTGGTGGAAGATGCGAACTGGCTGAAGATACACGAGTCTGAAGCAGGAATGTACGACCTTATACGGCTGCAATGGACTGGCTATTATTAGGCAAATATTCCGTGTTTGTCGCAGTTTGTAACCCGTCTGGTTCGTATTTGCAGCCACTGTGTTGCATTAGATAAGGTGAAATGATAAAGTGTCGGAGGTCACGGGGGGTGGGGGGGACGCGGCCCCTTTAAGGCAGCCGCTGATTGCAGCTGCTCGCGTGGTAGAAGGCCCCGCCCCCTACTTCCTATTGGCCGGGCCGCGGTGACTGGCAGCTGTCGGAGCCCGGCCTCGGTCTGCCATTGGTCGACTGTGGCGATTGACGGGCGTGGGAGCCGTCCTATTGGTCGCGGCGGATGTCAATCAGTCATTGAGCGACACGCCCCCTCCCGGGACCCGCCCACTGCTCCAGACGTCGCTCCCGAACCCTTTGTGCCGTTAAACGCATTTGTGGCGGTTTTGCTTTTCATTCCGATCCCCAAATACCAACAGACCTGAGAGGGGGAGAGGGAGAGGGGGGAGAGAGGGGGGAGAGGGGGAGAGGGGGGAGAGAGGGAGAGGGGGGAGAGAGGGGAGAGGGGGGGACAGGGGGGAGAGAGGGGGAGGGGGGAGAGAGGGAGGTGGGGGGGAGAGGGAGAGAGGGGGGGAGAGGGGGGAGAGGGGGAGAGGGATTTCCTTAACTTCAGGGTTTATTTGCTGTGAAGTTTAAATGGTGTCTATAATTCAATGTGAATGTTGCTTCTCCGTCCTCACCGCTTCCCGTGTGGATCCCGTGTGGATCTGAGCCAAAACTTACAGAAAACCAGGAATATTGTGTGTGTTTAAACAAAGCCGCTGTGACACGAATTATTCACAGGCGGAGCCGATGGGATAACAGTTGAATCTCCTTGTGACTTGGCTCAAGGTTTGTCGGTGTCATTGTGTGTTGGTGCTTTCTCTGAAGGTCATAAAAACCCACCAGTGAATAAGATTTATAATAATAATAATTCTGGCGTTTGATACAGCGCCTCATCACGTCTTCGAGATGTCTCAAAGCGCTTCAGAGAATAGACCGTAAAGTGAATTGACTGTTTATTTTGCTTAGAACGTGAGCTAAATCCATGTTCAGGCTTCACTCTCTTGTTCTCTGATCTTTATACAGTACCTACACGTAAACCCTAATTGTTGGGGATCACTGAGCTATAGAGAACCGGAGCTGAGTTTATTTCAGCCAAAGCGACAATCGGGAAACAAGATTTGGGAGGGAGTAAATGTTAATCATAACGTTTTTCAATGTTTCTTTTTCTCCAGTGTCTCACTGCCACCATCACTCGCTATACTGCAGACAACAACAATAACAGCCCTCATTTGTGCAGAGCCTTTCACGTTGGGAGGACATCCCAAGGTGCTGTTGGGGGGGTGGGGGAGGTGCGTGGCTGTGGACTGTGACACACGTGGCTGGGGAGAAGTTTTCCAGGAAATCGGAGACCAGGGTGTAGGATCGAGCTGTCAGTCCACTGCCAGAGGTAGTAGTTTGTGTAGTTTAAAAGGTTGTGACACCGCCTGGGAGATAACTATACAATCTACTGCCTTGCCAGTGCTGCTTCAGAGCTACAGGACGATGGGAATCAGTGTGTTGCTCTGTCACTGAGCTATGGCCACAATGTGTATTTGCTCATGTGTGTGTGTTGAGGGAAATGTTCTGTTCTCAGGTCTCCTTCAACCCCTCTGTGAGGAGATAACTCCTCTATATGTTAGAGCACGGGTGCTGTGTCACATGTTATGTAAGGGTGTGTTGCAAAGATGAGATGAGGTGAAGGGTTCCAGAGAAGCCAGTTACAGTGTTTAGATCTACTGCACGTGGCAAAATAAAAATAATTAAAAACACAACATGGGACATAAATCCTGAAACTAATGTTTTGTTATCAGTAACATTATTTCTATAAGGTGATAAACCAACATTATTGGTGACTGTGTTGTCTTTAAACACATACATAGATAAGGGTTGGAGACAGGTTCTTGCAGTTTCTATGTATTGATGTTAAACTGGTGCTTCTCTTGGCTTGAGCCTCACTGGAGCTGCGATCAGTAACTCATTGCTGATCAACAGCAGATCATTGCTGGAGCTTCCAGTCTGTGTCTCTAGTACTGTGTATCTCGGCTTTGCTCTCACTTCTCCCAAGGCTCCAATGTTTTTCCCAAAAACGTCATAAATGAGTTGCATCAAAATCAATGCTTGGGATCTGTTGTTGCTGCTCCCCACTGGAGCTCTGTAATCCCGTTCCTCAAACCCACCAGCTTGGTTGAGGGAGACCTTGTGCAACTGCCTCTTCCGATATAACGTGAATCAGTCAGGCTCTTATTCATCTCCAGAAAAGACTAAATTATTTAACAGCTCTTTGTGAACAAAAAAAACCCTACAGGGAATGTAACGCAAAGAACATATCTTACCATGTAGCTAGCAATGAACTGGAAAATCCAGTGAGAACAATGATCTGAAAAAAGGCCTGTGGGAGGAAATTAATTCACAAGGTCTGAGGGGCCGAGTGTGGCTCTGGTTACATGAGTAAGAGGGTGTGAGAAGTTGCTGAAGTAGAGGTGTTCTGTTCAGCTGTGTCCGGAGTTGGCATCGGATTATCTGGACACCTCAGACTGAGCAGCCACTGTCAGGTAAAATGTTGTGAAGACACTTGGAGAGTGAGGACTGCACACACACACACCACATGTCTGTCACTGTTTCTCACTGTTCATTCTCACACTTACGCTGTGAGTGTTTCTTTACTGCTTATCTGGATTATGAAGATAATCTATTGTGATTTAATGGTGGATTCTCACGGAACTTCACAGCCAAGCCTGTTCCTTTCTACATGTATGCATCTTCCAGCAGCAGGTACTAGATAACTAGGGCAATTTTTTCCTCCTTTGGGGAACTGAGCTCAATCATAGTCTGATCCCTGCAGCCACTGCACTCAGCTAACAGGTGAGCAAATGATCTGTATGATTCAGATTTAGCAGCTATGACCCTCTGTGCAAAATGTACATGTGCTGAAATATTAAAGTTCTGTATTCCAGAGAAATTACATTGCAGCTTCAAGTGAAATTGCAAAACACATTCAATAGATTTTTGCTCTTGAAAATCACAAAGTACTCAGAATTAAAGCGAACTAGAAACAAATGTGATGAATAATAATCCTTGTATTTGATATGGCACCTTATCACATCGACACCTCTCAAAGTGCTTCACACAAGTTATTGCTAAATGTCACACCTATCTTTGTAGATTTCTACAGCAATGTCCCCCAAAGGGCCAGGAGGTGAATGATCAATATTTGGAGGATTGTTGACTCAGACACTGGTAGAAACTCATTTTTTCAAATCGTGCCAGGGATCCCAGACAGGACTTCAGTTTAAGGAGACGCCTCCCGTTACCCAGTTCCCCAATGCATGACTGCGATGTCAATTTAGACCATATAGCTCTGGGGAATTAAAACCACAACCTCCTGCCCAGAGGTGAACATGTCACAAACCAAGCTGACACTGAGGATTCAGTCCCTGTGTCAACGCCCTTTACCATCAAACGCACTTGCAGCTCTTTTCTCACATCTACGGTGATCTCGGTTTATTCTGGTATCACTGCTGGAACTTTGGAGTTCACAGTGAAGGTTGACACTTCGGTGCAATGTTGGGAAACCCTTCATATCAAAGCAAACGCTTGGAAAGAATTTCTCCAACAGCTGTTTGGTGTGTCGCGAAGCGGCCACTGGAGGGCGCGCGAGCACCGCGGTAGCCGACTGGTGAGGAGCGCCGAGCGGCCACTGGAGGGCGCGCGAGCGCTGCTGTGGCGCTGAGAGCGGAGACGCAGCGAAGAACCGACTCACTCTCTGCGGAGTCTCCAGCGGACAGGACAGCGTCTGAAGCCGCTCCGGGAGCGAACTCCGAGCCCGCGGCGCAAACTCGAGGAACTGCAGCAATTCACAAAACAGTGTCAGGATTTATTCCGAAGAAACCGACCTTTTCTTTGCTTTTGTTTATTTGGAAATCTTCAGTCGAAAAACTGCGGAAAGTGCAGTTGGAGAAACCCGTGAACTGTGACTCAGTCCCGAGGACACGACGGCTTTCCTGAGAAAGTCTTCATGTGATCGGGAAAGAAAGTCCTGGAGCTGATTCAGGGGGTGAATGGCCTCAGAGAGGAGAGTGTCTCCAGTCCTGTCTGTCTGTCCATGTGGCGATGTTGGTGTTGGGAGGATCTAGAGGTTGATCCTGGAGACCATACACAGGTAGGACTGGGATTAGCCCCCAACCCCCAACCCCCAACCCCCAGCCCCCAACCCCCAGCCCCCAACCCCCAACCCCCAGCCCCAACCCCAACCCCAGCCCCCAGCCCCCAACCCCCAACCCCCAGCCCCCAACCCCCAGCCCCCAGCCCCCAGCCCCCAACCCCCAACCCCCAGCCCCAACCCCCAGCCCCCAACCCCCAGCCCCCACTCCCACCCCCAACCCCCAGCCCCCACCCCCAGCCCCCAACCCCCAGCCCCCAGCCCCCAGCCCCAGCCCCCAACCCCCAGCCCCCAACCCCAGCCCCCAAAACCCCAGCCCCCAACCACCAACCCCCAGCCCCCAACCCCCAGCCCCAACCCCAGCCCCCAACCCCCAGCCCCAACCCCCAACCCCCACCCCAACCCCAGCCCCAACCTCTAACCCACAGCCCCAACCCTCAACCCCCAACCCCCAGCCCCCAACCCCCAGCCCCCAGCCCCCAGCCCCCATTCCCCAACCCCCAAACCCCAACCCTCAGCCCCCAACCCCCAAACCCCAGCCCCCAACCCCCAGCCCAGCCCCCAACCCCCAGCCCCCAGCCCCCAACCCCCAGCCCCCAGCCCCCAACCCCCAGCCCCCAACCCCCAGCCCCCAACCCCAGCCCCCAACCCCCAACCCCAACCCCCAGCCCCCAACCCCCAGCCCCCAACCCCCAGCCCCCAACCCCCAGCCCCCAACCCCCAGCCCCCAGCCCCCAACCCCCAGCCCCCAACCCCCAGCCCCCAACCCCCAGCCCCAGCCCCCAACCCCCATTGATAGTTGCCGTTTTGTGGTCGAGCATTAAGTAGTAATTATTTAAATCGTGGTTTCTGGAGAGATGTGAAAAATCAAGTAGGAAGAACGAATAAAAAGTGTCATTACATAACCGACCCCTCCAGAAGGAAATGTCACAGCAATCGCCAGGGGACAGATTGCAGGTGATTGACAGTCTAACAGTAAGTGGAGTTTCGGGTCAAGTGGAGCAGAGATTGAGTGAAGGGAATGGAAACTCTTCAGATAAACCCATTTATCCAGATGTCAAACAGCAGTTATCAGGCGCTGAGTCCAACTCAGTGCAAAGTGCAGGAACTTTAATAGAATGTTTAGAATTTACTGAATGTTGTTGATTGAATATGATTAAAGTAAACTTCCAAGGCTGCACCATGTCCCTAAACCAAAGGACCCCCGAATCCCCCCACCCGCTCCCCCCAAATCAATGTTGGAGCCCAGGAGACTATCTTTCTGCCTTGTTTTATTCAGCAGAGCAAGTGATGGAGAGATTAACTTTAGGATTAGATCAAATGGGACAAAAGATCTTCATCGTGCGATCTGACTTTCCTATAATCAGAGTGTTTATCTTTGAATTTATTACAATTTGTTATAGAAAGGAATTACATTCTAAACATGGAATTTGACCTTTGCTGAAAGAGTTATCCATTTAATCCCATTTCCCTGTCCTTTCCCTTTTCCTGTTATATTTTTATTTTTCAAATTCTGTATTTATACAATTCCTCCCAAATCTATAATGGGTTCGGTTTCTCCCTATAGTAGATTCTATCTTTGGCAGGAAACGTAAGAGGAAAAAGGATTAAAAACAGAATAATTAAAGGGATTCATATTTTGGTTTGCCTTCAAATTACACGGTCGCCACTCTTTCCATAAAGTAAATCCCGTTAAGTCCATTGAGGCATTTTGCTGTAAAAGGAGCTGCATAAGATGTAAGGATTGCTATTTAGGATTAAATTAAGACTGCAACACTCATGGACAGTTGTGAGGAGATCCTGTAAGAGGCTGACAATCAGGAGTGTGCGGTGTGACATGTCCCAAACTGAGCTACAGCTCCGCCAATGACTAATTGTAAAGATTATTGTGTTCTTGAGATTTAATTCACGACCCTGAGAAAGGAGATTTTTCATCCTTAGTTGTACTTATTATTAATAATATTAATATTAAAAACTGGTGAAAGATAGAGAGGCCTTTTATAACAAAATTAAAAGAATATTTTAATCCTAACATTTAAGCCCGTGTTGGTGTAGCTGTGCTTCTACACCATGTCCTGTGTAAAGCTGGACAATTACCAGCAACAATAACTTTCACTTATATAATATATTTCATGGAGACTATAGGGAGCACTGAGGATTGAGATACAACAACAACTTGCACTTACATAGCGTCCTCCACGCAGGGTAGCGTCTCAGAGCGCTTAACAGTGGCAGAGCCTGACTCCGAGCCTGGGAGAGGGGGGGAGGTGGCTGTAACCAGCATGAAATATATCCTTAATTTGACAATAAAACAATTATTTCACAAGGTGCCTGCACAGCACCAGTAGCTAAAGCACAACTTTGTTATTATTAACAATTTCTTCTTATTATTAACAACAACAACAAAAGTACATTTATAGAGCGCTTTTCACATCAATTACATTAACTTTGATATTAACTTCGATCTGTAATGTGACGGAAAGTATTTGTCTGTTTCCACCCATGAACCATGTAACATGTAGAACATTTGAGACTAAATATTTGCCCTCACGGTATGTCAACAGACCCAGTGAGAAATAGAAATGTTTGTTTCCATGACCTGGGAGTACTGGATGGGACATTGCAGAGGGAACTTTAATCTGTATCTCTCTGTGCTGCAGTTCACTGTGAGTGTTGGATAGCGCAGTGCAGAAGGATCTTGAATTCCCAGCACTAATATCTTGAGAAGCACAGAATTAAATGTTATATTTTTGAACAGAGAAGATACTTATTTAATTTTGAGATCTCTGGTCTATGCTTGGCATTTTGTAGCTTTGCTACACGTTGTCTGTACTGTACAAATAATTGAGCCTCCAGCATAGGTTAGTGGGTGCAAATTGGATTGCTGAATAATTTTAAGAGTGAATGTACCATTGAGATATCTTGGGATAAAATTAAGTGACATTAGTCGAGGTAAGGCCTGTAAGCGAAATAGATATGCTCCCTCCCGTCTCTCCCTTCCACCTCTCACTCCTGCCCTCCATCCTTCCCTCCATTCCTCCCTCAACCTGGGGCTCAAGGCAGAATGCTGTAAGAATTGTAAGCACACCGAGGAGTGGATAATTGGAGGTGAAGTGACAGAGTGTTGAGAGCAAGAAAAGGTAAGTAGGGGCTGAACTAAGTATTCCTAAAGTTTATGATTTTAAGTTTAAGTTGTATAGAGGACTCATTTCTGCTAAAGATCCTTTTATGGACTTCAGGATATAGGCTCCTCCAGGCAAAGCTGGTAATAATAATAATAATCCTTTGATATGGTGCTTTTCACGTCTTTGAGACGTCTCAAAGCGTTTCACAGAATATACTGTAAAGTGCATTGACTATATTTGTGGGCAAAATGCTGCAGCCAATTGTGCACAGCAGTGTCCCCACAAACAATCGTGGATTGAAATGACCAATTTATTATTGTTTTGTTTTGGAGGGATTATTATTAGGTGTGTGGAGTAAAGAAACTTGCCCAAGGTTTCGCCCTGCTTGGAATTGAACCCAGGTGTCTCGCTTGCAAAGCGAGTGCTCTAACCACTGAGCTACAGGACTCTTAAATGCATTATGTGGCACCTAATTTTCCTAATGACATCACTCTCAACAGTGAGGTGAATGACTGATTCATTTGATTATTATTACTCTTTGAAAGTCATCTAGAAACACTCAATGACCAAAACCCACAGAGATAGCTTCTTCCATTTACTATCGGGGGATCTTTAACATCGACCTGAAGCACGATAACAGCCCTTTTGATGAAACTGGAGTGAGGCAGATTCTAGTTTGTCACATTTCAGGTGTTCCTCTGATTATGATTTTATATATTTGATAGCACTCTCTGTCTAGGTCTGTGTTAGAATTTACGAACAGCTGTTCCCGGGATTTTCTGTCCTGGCTTCAAATACAGTTTAATAGTTCATTTTAATGAATTCTTATTCAAGCCTAACTCAGTTATGAAAGGCTTTCTTCTCCTGCTGGTAAAACAGGGTTTTTATCAGTTTATTAATGTATTACCCTCCTGTGTATACAGTCTCTGGGTGTGAGCATGAGTTGGGGTTAGCATTTATTGTTTGTCACTCGGTGAGTCTAGGTTCCTCAAATTCAACAGCCAATTTTAACATCCACCTGAACAAGTAAATGGGACCTTAGTTTAATGTTTCAACTGAAGGACAGCACTTCCAACAATTCAACAACCCCCAGCACCTCAATAGAGCGTCAGCTTTGACTGTGTGATGCCAAGTCCCAATGTGGGGCTTGAACCCACAGCCTCAGAGGCGAGAGTGCTACCACTGTGCCAGGCTGACATTCAGATAGACATAGCATGCGTCAAGAAGATACCAATAAAGTGACTTTGTACTCAGCTACCATTTGGCATATAATTCCATTTAAAACAAGGTGGCCCAAGAGAGCAGAGAAATGCTGGGAAAACAGGCTGGCCTGAGGAGTAGAACATTCTGGGGATCTACTTTAGTTTTCCCAAGGAATGGTGCTTGCAGTAGTGACAGATTACTAGTGTGGAGCTCTGTGCTGCCCATTAATTCTGGTTATTGAATAATTATTTGAATAATTTGTGTTATTAGCGGGCACCATCAATTGAAATCAGATGCAATATCTAATTAGTTTTTTTGTTTCTTTCCACATTCCACACAATCACAAGTTCATTAGTAGGAAAAGTTGCACGTTAATCTTTTTATGGATGGCAATTTCTCTTTGAAATGCTAAAAAGTAATTTTACCTCCAGGGTAAGACAATTGCACAGTAACGTTTCCTGTCTCATTGTGTCATTCTGGAAATGAGAAACACTGCAGAATAGAAAACTGAGATGTTAGGGTCGCCAGTTCTTGATCAGCATTGATGTACGCAGTCTGCTGAGTACTGTATAACACTGAAGCTGGTGCTAGAGTTAACTCGAGGAGCTGTGGAGAGGACAGAGGGCTGGTTAGTTACAGCTTGGGTTACCTTAATCTTTAGAACTCTCTAAACTGACAATGTGCTGGACCAGATCTTCTGCACACAACCAGAGACCAGGCAGAAATTAGGCGTTATTCGGTATGGGGAAAAACAGCAATTATTCAAATAGGTGAAACCCGTGACACTTGTTCTCACGAAAAATAAGATAACTAATAATAATAATCCTTGCATTTGATACAGCGCCTTTTATGTCAGGAGCACATCTCAGAGTGCCTCAGAGGATTGACTGTTTAGCAATCCTAGTGACTGTACTTTGTAAGCGATACTGGCATCAGGTCTGAGGAATTTCTGGAGTTTAGATTCTGATTAGAGGGCACTGTGTACTGGGTGGTTTGTTGTCTAGTGGTGATCGTTGTGTGGCAGGGAGAATGAGCCCTAAAGCCAGCCTCACAGCTCCATAAAGCAGAGTAATGTATCCAAAATATTCCTCAAGTTATGCTGAAATTGGATTCAGTTTGAGATAGCAATATGATTGCCTGACATTTTCTCTGCTTAGACTTCGAATTCCAGATCCTCATCCTCATCCTCACCTACAAGGCCATTCACAGCCTTGCTCCCTCCTACCTCTCCGACCTACTATCCCCCTACTTACCTGCCCGTACCCTCCGTTCCTCTGCTCCACATCCCCCGCCCTAACCGCCCTACCATCGGTGGCCGGGCCTTCAGCCTCTCAGCCCTGAGGCTCTGGAACTCCGTCCCCCAATGCCTTCGCCGCTTCCTCCCTTTCCTCCTTCAAGGCCGGTCTCAAGACCTTTCTCTTCGACCGTGCCTTCAACTCCCCTCTCGACTCTCTACCCCCTCCTCGCTCCCTCCCTTCCCTCCCCTCACCCTGACCATTTCCCTCCTGCTCGGGTCCCGACCCAACTGTCCAGCGCCTTGGGACGTCCTCCCGACGTGAAAGGCGCTCTATAAATGAAATCTTGTTGTTGTTTGTCGATACATCATGGTGACCATGTGAGAGATGAGTGAGGGGAAATATTCACAAAATACCTGTGAGCCGAGATCAATATTACCCAAACTTTCAACATTATAACTTGTCTTGGATGGACACACAGCCTGGTGATTAGGGCAGTGCCGGTTGAGGGAATTGGTTGCTACCCTATATGAGGACGCTGTATAAATGCAAGTTGTTGTTGAATTGGGCTCCTGTGATGGAATGTATTATTTTCCAGTCAGAATTTCAACTTTGTAACAAACTGTAATGGAGCAGGTTTGGAATAAGAAAGGTTTCTGGCTCGAGCAATAACCAATAATAATCTTTCTTGTTGAAGCACCCATGTGTTTGCTGAGTTCTGGAGCCATTGAGTTGAGACTGTCTCGTTCCAACAGCAGAGCCGGGGTTTGCTAGCCACCTCCAGGTCAGTAATAAACCACGAACAGCTCAGTATAATGCATAAAGTGGATTCAATTATTTACCAGCAGAAAGTAAAACTACAGCTTGTTGCAACAACACGTACCGTGTTGCCCAGGTTGGCTCCAGAGCCTCATAAACACTGAAGGCAAAACTACGTTAGTTCATTTCCCAGGTAGCTCATCATGCCTGACTTTTTTTTGATTAAATTCAATTTTATAAAGAAATGAAAACTCAACGCCAGACAATCCATGTGGCCATCAATAGGTTAAATGATAAAGTCTCACCTGTGTTTTGTGGCAGAATGAGGGACCACGACATCCAGAACATGAGTAAATGGCTAATTGTGCTCAGTGTGTGTCTGATAACCATATGGGGAAGAATTACATTGGCCTCAAACCATCACAGAGGCCATTCAGGTATGTACGTGTTCTCCCGTCTGTTTACCTTCTCCTATATGTCTGATGACTGTGGTTGTTCCAGCTGATATTGTGTTGATTAATTTGGAATAAAACATTCTGGTAGAATGGGATAGATATGTTGAGATCAGATGTGCAGCGTGGAACAGGTGTTCAAACTGTGGAAATCAAGAAGTCAGGGCTGAAATGTGTGGAGTCCTGGCCGGTATCTCTGATTGTCTGCACTTTATCTCAGATTTTCAAATTAAATAGAATTTTTCAGCAGAAGAGACTAATCAGCTGATCACCCAATCAGTGTCTGAGTCAGTGCCCCGAGTATTTAATGAAGTTAAGGCACACAATGTTCGATAACCAAACCTCCGCTAGCTGGATGCATGGAATAGAGCAGATATCTCTTCAGTGTAGAAAAAATGCAAGAGCAAAATTATTACCAGTATCAAGTAGCCTGGGCCTAGCTCAGAGACTAGACTATGTTAACCCTCTGTGTTAACCATTCTGTGAGTTGCATCTGTTTCTAGGATCTTTCTATTTTTTAACTGAATTGTTAGGGATGGTTCAATTACTGTAACAAATTACTCTGTGATCTCAAGGCCTCATTTTACATTAGGTCTAATTTGCAATATTCACTAAAGGGCTAGGAAGTCAACTAGAGCTTCCTCAGTCAGGCTGAGAGGTCAGATTCGGGGTTAGCAATTTCAGAAAGTCACCGAGGTTCAAAGATCAGATGGGATTTCATCCCCTCTGTGATTATAAGTTAGACCTTATTATCTCTCAAGCTGCCAGTTCCACAAATCTCAGTTATTGTTCTGTTCCCACACACACACACACACACACACAAAGACATATGTTTTAAGTGAGGTGTCTTTCCAGTTCATTCTTCCACTGACTTACATCGTTTGCAATCCTGCAGTTCATTAGAAATGTAGTAAATTTATGTAGTTAAATCGGAATGGCCTAAGGTGTGTGAGAGGGTATATCTGCTGCTCTGTTATTTAATGAGAAAAACTGAATTTGAATTTTAGAAGCAGTCAGGTTTAATCCACCTGACACTGACCTCCTTTCTATCTCCTTAGTGGTATGACAGTATAATGGGAAGTCACTGTGGGTGGAGATGCCAAAGTCAGTATTTTCTGTTATTTCTCATTGATGGGTGGAATTCATGAGATTTTGTGAAGCTCAAGGCCAAGGAACAGGAGTCTGAGTGTTGCCTTGGGACACCCTCCTGAAGGCACACAGTGCCTTGGGACATCCTTCCAACATGAAAGGCACTTTACAAATATAATTTTGTTGATTTGTTGTGTAATGCATTGTTTGGGACAGAGACCTGGTTTGCTGTGTTTCTGTGACACTGGGATCTCTATGTGGGGTTCAAGTCTCTCCCACACAAAGGACCTGAGCCCACAGACCTAGCACTTACAAAGTGCTTCATGGCAACATAGTTCTGGTTGCTGCTGGTTACTGTTTTTGTAATCAATAAATGGAAGATCAAGTTTGACCGAGAGATTAATGAACCATTTGGAAATGACCTTCTTCTTTAAGGACCTACTCCTTTGATCTCAGTACTTTGATATCTCGCCAACTACGTGTTTGTGCTTTACAGAGAGAGAAAAGATTAAAGGTTTGAGATGAAAGGAGTTGCCTCTAACAGAACCTCTTAATCCTGAATGTGGTCCTTGACCCCCAAAGTGCCACTAGCATTTGAGAAGTGACAAGCTTAAACCATGTCTGTTTTATAGACACATTTTTGTGCTTGTTTAGGTGAGATGTTGCTGCTAAGAATGAACCAATGACACCTTTCAGCACTTCCCACAGGGTGCAGTGCAGTCGTGCATCAGGTTCCTGTGGTAGATGTCAGGTGCAGTGAATGCAGTGGGGTGCAGCACTCTAATGAATTCCTATATAGCACCAATACAATGGTTGTGTAGTGCACATCCCTGGTTGGATTTCATACAAGCAGATGGTGACAATGGCCAAAAGCTGCAATTTGCTGCCTCTAAAATGTGTTGCATTCCACCCTGTTGTTACAAAGCATAAGAGATTCACATGCAGTTAAAATCTATCCCACAGCCAAGAGACACAATAATCTGTGTTCTTCGGAACACGTGGAGAAAAAGTTTAATTGTGTGTGCACCTTACGTACAACACATGGACAGCAGGAAGGAAACAGCAAATTCATGAAATAAAAGATTTAATAAGATAGACAAGATCTTCAGAGGATTCTGCTTCCTCGGGTCAAGAACATCTGGTGGGTCTGGGCTGTGGCTGAGATGCTATGTTGTGATTTGGGGTTTAGGACTGACGTACTCTTTTCTCTACAGTTCACGTGAAGGCTGGAACGTGTGAGGTCATTGCTGCACACAGATGCTGCAATCAGAACAAGATTGAGGAGCGGTCCCAGACAGTGAAGTGCTCGTGTTTTCCTGGGCAGGTGGCAGGGACCACACAAGCTGCCCCCTCTTGTGTGGATGGTAGGACTTTGCTTTCATCATCTTTGAGTCATCAGTAATGTGGGTTGTCTGTGGAAAATGGCAGTGATGGAACCACAATCGCTAGTCTCTCAGTCCTACTTTGGGGAGAGTGAGACCCAGATTCCTTCTCTCTCTGCACAGTAATACATGAAGATAACTAATACGCTGGAGTCATTTCAAGGAAGTATTTTTATCTGAGGGTTTAGATGATGAACATGAAATGCTCGCCCTTCAGTCTCGTGGTTTCTGATGTTATCTGAACCCCTCTATTAAATTACTGGCTTTAACTCACTGACAGTCAGTCAATATCCTCTCGCTCTGTGATACTCGCTGGACACAGCCATTCCTGGTATTCCAGTGCAGATTGTTTCTTGGTAGAAGCAGCAGTAAATGATCCACAATCATTAATTTTTCTCATCTGAACATCTTTATTTCTCAAGGGCAAGGCGTGCTGACTGCTGGGGCTGTCCAAGCCACAGCTTTTAGGCAAATCCCAATTCTGTCCAATAGTCTAAAGTTCTGTCTTTAGTTTCTGTACTGGCAAAACCCTCCAATAAGAGTGTCCATGTCCCAGTAGTCTTTGTGCCGCTGTATTAAAGGAGTGAAAGGCACAGAAACGGAGCAGGATTGAGATCAAGTCCGTGAAAGGCATAAGCTGGGAATTGGTGCTGGTGAACACTATAGCCTGACTGTTACCAGAGGTAGATTTATCTTTGTTTTCTCTCTCCTGAAGATTCTAACTTGTGCTGGGGGAAGGTGAGGGATACACTCTCTTATCTTGTCTATTTGGTCATTTTGTGTGTGTGTGTGTGTGTGTGTGTGACCCCAGACACTAATATTCAACTGCAAGGTCATCAGGTCATCACAGCCAAGTGCTGTCACCTAACATCCTCCTGTATATTGGGGACCTCTCCACCCACCGCCCCACAGTAAGAAGCTTTTGTTGATGGTGAGTTTGGTTCAGTGTCAAGACTATTCCATCTCTGAGTCGCCCTGACTAAATGGGTGGGTCATACCACAACCCCCCCACCGTTCCGTGTCCCTGTACCGGCTGGTTATTTGGGATGATTTTGCTTTATCCTGGTGGGCAGGGAATTCCCTAGAGGATAGCACTGGTAGACATCCCCCAATGTGAAAGGTGCTATATGTATAACTGCAAGGATTATTATTATATAAATGCAATTTGTTTTTGTTGATAATCACAGGAGCTCGGCGATCCCTCTGGCGGCTTTGGTTACGATTTCAACCCACCCCCACCCCACCGCCACACTCCCTGCATCGCTAAAAAACGTCTGCCACCAATGCCCATGTGAAGCTTCAAGTGTGCCCCTGGATAGTGATTCGGAGCATATAACAGTTCTGGAACACAGATGAATTTGGTTCCAAAGCACAAGGAAATAAATGCCAGACTTTCTACTATTTGGCATGACATAAGCATACACACAGTCATTGGCAGGAGTCATCTGTGAATAAAATATCACAGTTTTGACACACTATGTTTATCATATTACTTAAACCTTTCTATCTCATCTTTTCTCTCACCTTGTCTCCAGCCTATATTGTTCTTCAGAAGTGGTGGTGCCAGATGCAGCCTTGTTTGGGGGACGAGGAGTGCAAGGTTCTGCCCGACCTGACCGGGTGGAGCTGTAGCACCGGAAACAAAGTAAAAACAACCAAGGTACATCGAGCTCCTTGCCAGTGCCTGCTCTAGCCTTGATACAGGAGTGAGAGGAAGGGGCGAGGGCTGAGTGCTATACAGTGCAGGGAATGCGGCCACACATCTGGTTCCTCACTCTACTGAGTGTCTGATCTCAACCATATGTTCAGGAGGGTAGGGAGGGAAAGGTCCCAATGTCCATAGTGATGTACTCAGAAAGAGCCGGTATTATACTCAGTGGGAAAGACAGTGTTGTTACCCAAGAAGTGGGGCAGAAAGGCAGGGAACCTGTCAGAGATGGAAAGCTAATGTTCGGGGCAAGAATGCTCTCTCAGGCTGCGCTGCATGTTTACATCTCACAGGAAAGGTCTGTGTATATAAGACATGACAAACAGTTTCAGGTTGGGGGGAGACCTTTATTCAATTCCCTTGTGTTTTTCAGGTGACTCGATAGCCTTTCAGGAATAAAAGAAGCATTTTGTTTACCCGCAAAGTTGAAAAGTGCTGATCTTTCTGCCCCGCCAGGCACACCAGGACGAGTCACCTTCCCCACAGTGATGTCGGAACCAGAATTACTTCAGGATTTGTGGAAGCATTAGCCAGGATTTTAAAAGCAGAAACTTCAGCATCATATGCACCGCAAGAGCCCAGTGAGGTCATTTTGAGTGGCTCTGACACTAAATCGGCAGCTTCTGTTTTACCTGCACTGAACTGGCATTGCCAAAGCTCATTTCCCAACTCCAGCTCAAACCTCGGTTTACAAAGATGCAAAGCTAAGTCTGTGGTTCAAAAATTAACACAATAATTAAAAAATGCAGACAGAGGCTGATGGCCACTTTCACAGAAAACAGAGCTGTTTACTTTGCATCCTTTCACGTACTTAGAGCAGCTAACATTAACAATGTGGAGTGTGGCTGCCTGTTCAAATGGAGGGAAAAGCCATCGACCGAAAGCTTGGTCTTGAGCTACATGGAGCTGGTGTGACAGGCAGAGAGCGACCACATCACAAAAAACGACAGTTGTTCTTGGAACTCATTGAAATCTCATTTTCATTTATAATCTGACACCAACTGCACAGAGCGGGTGCTGATGATTTTATCTAACCAGCAGACCCCGGTTTGCTGCTGTTAAAGTGACCATCACCTTCGCCCCTCCTCAGTTGCTGGTTATTGGCAGGAATCTCTCTCGTTATGTGCACGGGGCCGGATGGTGGCTTGTCTCCACTGGAGAAACCAAGAGGCTGGCCCCTGGCTGTCAGGACAACTCGTATTTAGAGATAGAATGATCTGTAGCTGTGAGAATATGTTAATTACTTCAAAAGTATGTTTTTCTGAATAAAACTAAGTGAGCTGTTCGCTAGGTCCGAACTTGTCTACTAAATATATAAATAATTGTTTGTAATGCCAGTCAAGCAGATTTTAAGGTAGAAAAAGTGTTTCAATGAATTTTCACATTATGATCTCCAGGAGATACCCAGCTGCCTGACTCGATCAGACATCAAACCCAAACAGTCGAGTCAAGAGGTAGGATCCCAGTGCAGTGCAGAAAGTTAATGCTCTCATTGCCAGTATTTAGATTTCTGCACAAGCGGATTCTGCAATTGACAGAAAATTATTCATAGCCCATATCCTAGTGTTGCTCACAAGGCGGGCGATGAACTTACTGCCACTTGAACACCAGCCTGACCCTATGCCAACCCAGCGCTAATATTCAATGCAAGATATAAAGCGACACAGGTGACCCAGAGAGTAACAAACAAACAGGTCAAGGTGTGGGATAATTTGCTGTGCAGTCACTTACACTTGGTTTACACACAGATTGTTCCATGTTCCGCCGGCGCTTCTGAAAACGCTCAGTTTACAGAATTCAATTAATTTATCTCTACAATAAAAGTTTAATTTCACGCACAAAACACACTAGAAGATGATGAAATAAATATTTTGGGAATACAGCCATGATTTAATGAAACCTAAAGGACAGAATAAAATCATCTATTATTCAGACTGCAGCAAAATTGCAAATTCACAGAATATAACCTCGCTCGATGTAATTATATCCCTCTCATCATTTCTCTTGTAAAATTTTTGGATTTAATTTTCTTCCATTGGTCTATTTACTGCTTTAATGCACACAAGTTACCTGCTGATTGAAGGTTCAAACACAACCAGTTACACCAGGCCGTCAGCTCAGTGCTGACACAGCCTTTTGTTTGGCATTAATTCAATCCCTTATCCCTGTTTAGTAATTTACCTACAAATGGGTTCAGTGCCCTGGGCTAGGAAGGTGAAAAGTCAGCCAGGGTGCCCACTCCTGATTGCTATCCAATGACCCCCAACCCCCCTAATGTAATGTGTGTGTTTCATTGGCTGAGGATGGGATTGGGCTGAGCTGTGAGGCCCCATTTACTGATATGTTGCAATCCTCACTGTCCAGACCGTTGTTTTGGAAGAAATGCCATTTAGGTGAGAGATACAGATTGGCTGCCCAGGACTTATATCTCTAACCCAAATCCAGGAGGAGAAATATGTGCTTCAACCTGACTTAGGGATACAGTACTCCGAGTCAGAAGGTTTTGGATTCACACATCGGGACTTAGAATCACATAGCCCAAGATGACACTTCAATGCGGTACTGGGGGGTGTACAAAGTGCCATCCTTCGGATGAAGATGTTAAACTGAGGTCCTATTTGCCTGTTGAGGTGGATGGTAAAGATCCCACGGCATTATTTGAAAAGAGAAGGGAGTTTCTCCTGGTGTTCTGGCCAACAAATCCCCTAAATAAAGTTGGTCACTCATTCCATGGCTGTTTGTGGGACATTGCTGTGCCCAATGGCTGTGCCCAATGGCTGCTGCTGTTTTGCCCCCAAAATGCAGTCAATCCACTTACAGAATACAAAGCGCTTTGAGACGTCTTGATGGGATGATATGGTGCCAAATCAAATGCAAGGATTTTGATATTATTTCTGAAAATTAAATGTTTATGAAACACAGTAGAATGTGACTTACATTTCTATAGTGCCTTTCGTGTTGGGAAGATGTCTTGACAATACTGAACTGGGGGTGGGGAAGAGAGGAAGTGATGTTTAAAGTGGATTCAGTCAGTCCAAATTTGAGATTAAACATGTTCTTTCTGGAGGGAGTGAATGGCACTATTCTGATGTGATATGTTGATTATTCTGAACTGACTTCTCACTCTTTCCTTAGAGTAGAATCAGCCTGCCTTTCAGCCTGTTCCAGGAAACACCAATTTAATGACCCACTCACTACCCCTCTAAACCCACCACCACACAGAACAGTACCCTTGCTCCTCTGAACAACCAGCTTCTTTCACTGGTTAATACATCTGCGGCTCATTATACGCTTGTGATTAGGTTAAAGTCGCCTCTAATCAACACCTTGACAAAACTCATTGATATTACATGGCCCTAAGTGTGATGAGTTCAGAACTGGAAATCTGCCAATAACCTACGGAGGAGTCTCTGGATGTGAGATTAAAAATAGAAGTAATTTAATAGAGAAATAATAAGATTGCAGAAGGAAAACAGAAACTGATTAATACCTAATCTTGTTTATATAAATTTATAGCAAGAAGTACATATGAGAAAATTGCCGCCTATAAAAATCAAACCAGGTTGCTCATATTGTAATTAACTTACTGCCAACATTTGTAGGCAGATATTTCATAGAAAAACATGTTTATGATCTTTCCTCTTTGCCTTCCAAAGTCTTGGCTTTTTCGAATGACATGTGATCATCACTATACATGGATCAGAAGTGGGAATTCTGTCTGATTTCTCTCTCACGAACCCTGGGCACTGAGACTCACTGACCGCATCCTGAGGATGGAATCTGCACATACTGGTCTATGCGGTTCAGCACTGCAGCAAGTGGTGCCTTTACCACCTGAGCCACCAAGGGAGGCAACCGTGGATTCTTAACCCCGACAATAGTGATTTCACAGCAGGTTACGCAGCCTGAACACTAAATATTTGGCGCTCTGAGAATCAGAAAGAGATCGACAAATAAACAAGGGAGTTCTAATGGCATTGTGGGTGAGAGATTAGATGGCAGACCGGAAATGTGAGACTGGAAATGTTTGTAAAATGTCATTAGGTATGAAATTTGTATCCTTTGTGCTGAGCTTCTGTTTCTTAATGCGTTCAGGGCTTGTCAGATAAATCACCAGCGTGTGTAGTACACGCTGACGTTGAAAGGAAGTTAATAAATGTTTAATAGTCAATGACTTAACCAGTACCAATTTAATTGTCGCAAAAAACAGCTGTTTGCACCAGATGTTGCGGTTCATTCCAAATTTAAAAAGGACATAAAGACTTTCATATGATTACTTGGCAAAGTTAAAAGCTCTTCCTTGTAAATCAAACTTTGTGATAATAATAATCCTTGCATTTGATATAGCGCTTTTCACGTCGGGAGGACGTCCCAAAGTGTTTAAAAAGAACACACTGTAAAGTGAATTGACTGTATTTTTTTTGTGGGCGAATGCGGCAGCCAATTGCGCACAGCAATGTCCCACAAACAGTCGTAGATTGAAAATGACCAATTTATTATTGTTTTTGGTTTTGGAGGGATTATTATTAGGCTCTGTGTGGAGTAAGGAAACTTGCCCGAGGAATTGAACTCAGGTCTCTCGCTTGCAAAGCGAGTGCTCTAACCACTGAGCTAGTGAGTGATGCTACTACCTGAGATGTTTACACCATCTACATAGTAAACACTTTCCTAGTGGATCCAGTCCAGTAACATTTATTATTCATGTATTTGTTGGTTACTGAAACACCGTGATGGAATTGGGTAACACACAGTCCTTTCTTCCTCTGCGATGTGGGCTTTAACCCAGGGTGAGCAGATAAATGTCTTGAGGCTTATCGTGGTAACGTTAGATATCAGAGGGCAGAGAGGCTGAGCAAGAGAAAGTAGTTTTCACAATATATGTCAACATTTTAAGTTGATTTGAACTACATGCAGTATTATCCAAGATCCTTTGAAATTTTTCTGAGGTTGTAAATTAGTTATTAATCGGTAATTCTGGATGTTGCGTCTCACATAACAAATGCAGGGAGTTGAAATTGAGTGTTAATGAACTGTGGGTGGTGAAAATCAGGCCATCTCTAAATAAACACAACACAAAATGCTGCAGATGCTGGAAATCTGAAACAAAAACAGAAGTCGCTGGGAACACTCAGCAGGTCAGCAGCAAATATGGAGAAAGGAAAGTGAGTCAATGTTTCGGGTCCACGACCCTTAGTCAGAACTGGGGCATGTTGGGAGGGAAACCTCCCAAGACGCCCCAGTTATGTGTGTCCCTCCCAACATTCCCCAGTTCTGATGAAGGGTCATGGACCCAAAATGTTGACTCACTCTCCTTTCTCCATAGATGCTGCCTGACCTGCTGAGTGTTCCTAGCGACCTTCTATTTTCATCTCTAAATAAATATTTGTGGAGAATCACTGTTCGAATGCGGGAACTGTCAGGCAGTGAGGCAATTAAGCAGTTTGGAGCAGGACTTATCAGCAAGTTATAGCCGCTTCCTGACTCTAATTATCTCCAGAATCTGGTAAACAAGTGGATCACTTCACTAGCTGTTACCGGTCAAGATTCTTGGAAAGTTAGGACAGTTTTCAAATGGTGCCATGGGATCTTTAATGTCCAAATGAACAGACAGAGGGGATCTTGGTTTAACATCTCATCTGAAGGACAATTGATGGATTTATTACTGCAAGAATTAAGAGACTGAATTAGCAGCGATTTGTTAAAATTAAAGGGGCTTCACAGCCTAAAAGTAGAAATACCAGGAATCTCGAAAAGGAATTTGAAGCGCTTTGCGACGTCTCGAAGACTTGATAAGGCACTATATCAAATGCAAGGATTATTATTTTTAGTGTCCATTTTTCTGACATTTGACACCATGCAATGCTACCTCTGGGGGAATCTTTCTAAATGTATCTTTCTGCAACTCTAATCAGACTTTGGAGCCTCAAAGCCAGTCTCTGAAATGAGAATGCACAGCCTTCCAGATCGAGTGAGTTACCCGCCAGCACTTAGCTGGGAGAGTTTCAGGAGGTGGCTGTTCCCTCAAGAAACACAGTTGGAAAGTTGGCACTCTGGAGTCTGACTTGTAGTGGTGTCGCTTTGTATTCTTATGTGTGAGAAAGAGCACACGTCAGGAAGGGTGCGACTGGGAGGAAATTTTCAGTTTGGCTTGGGCTGACCAAAAAAACTGACATTATTACAGTTTGCTTTCTCCATATGAGTGGAGTGTAAGTGAGGCAAGACTTTACCCTGACACCCTGGGACGCTGCACATCACTACACCTTTGTACAACTCATTAAAGCTTTT